TAAATCGTCGTGTATTGTTGTATATTGACATGTTATTGTGCAATCATTTACTTCTAAATGACATACAACACGAAAATGTCGAAATATTTCATCATACATTGCGTCGAAATTTTTCTCATTCACATTCTTTGCAACTTCTCTTTATCTTCTACAATGTCAGTAAAACAATAATTATCAAGTGTTCCGCTTATAGTATTTTGCACAGAACCGTTTTTTTGCATTTCTAATCTAATGTCGCGAAGTCACGTTAATATAACCATAAATAACAGTATATGATTAATTCGAAATCATTCGCTGAGTCAATTAAATGCATATATTACATTTTTATGTCGGCGTTATTATGCTTCCGTCATGGAGTATTCCGACGTATTAAGCAAAAAATCAATCCTATTTTAGCGTATTTTCTTCAACTTAATCTTGCGAGAGAAATAAACATAAACATTATATTGGATTCTCTTTTTTTCGGGGGAATATTTCGAATCGTTTTTATTTAAGTAGAATGTTAATCAAAATTACGTAGTTTTTTAAATTTATATTGAAAGTACTACATAATTTTGCTATAGAGTTAAAATTTCTATAAATACAAAAAATTTAGTTGTTACATTTAAAAAGTGATTTGTTTCACATAATTTATAAAAATAAAATTACCGAACATTTACCACTTATAATCTTCGAGAAAGGAGAAATTAAATGCTTGACATTTGAACTAGACATTTAAATACTATCAACTTAATATTCATGAGTGAATCAGGTGAAATGTAAATTTATGATTTTTTTATTTTATACAGGAATAAATTTATTTAAATAATTAATTACAGGAAAATGTGCGCACAATGTTACAAATACGTGCAGCAAATGAGTAGATATCTACGAAAAAGACAGATGATAAAAATATATATTTTTTGTTGTTTTTGCTGTTCTATTTTTAGCGTTATTAATCTCAGATTATTCGACGCACTAGGTTTTTTTCTCTTGAATATTTATCGCGTGATTCTGTACGTACTACGTCATTGTCGGGATCGTATATGAGCCTAATAGACGGTAACTCTTGACAATCTCTCGCTTCTGGACCATCACCATGAAGCCGAGTCTTTGTGACGATTGTGCTTGCAGGCTGCACACGATGTATAAATTGAAAATCACGTGATACATTATATGTAAAAAAAGCCTGTTGATTAGAATTTTTTAAATATAATTTGAAATAAATGGACTATAAGAGCCGATATTTGTGCGGCAGAAAAAAATTTTTCAAGTTTAATTATGCTGTGCGCAGCACTATAGAGCGATAAAAATGCGATAAATCAAAGATAATGTTTATATGTATATTTTATATATTATATAAACATTTAATATGCAACTTTGTATTTGAGAAAACATGTTAAACTGCACTGTTGCGTTCAAACTATGACCTTAAAAAAGTAGAAATTTATTATGTTAGCTTTATTACTTTACTCCTAATTAAAATTATCAATTATAATAAAAATATATAATATGATTCTTAATTAATTGTGTTTAATTAGTTATTAAACAAATATCACACACACATATGAATAATTTTTATTTAAAACCAAATTAAATTTAATAATCAAAAAATTTTAAAGTGTGCCATGCAGTTTTAAAGTTTCAAATACTCTTCCAATTATTAGCTTTTTCTATATGATGATGTTAATTTTACAACACAATATTATCAAGTTTTGAAAGATGCGAAAGGGTTTGTCACTCGTTTGCTCCTTTCATATTGTTTACATCATTTGATTGCTTAGAACTAAGAAGAAAGACTATCGATGAATTGAGAAACAAATATGCATTTTTTTTATTCAGCCTCGAGGTATCTAACAAGAGAGAAAGTGCGTCCCACGATGGGACGTTATACACATTACGTATTGTTGCGATACATTCATTCCGTCTTTAGAAGCTATTAAGTTTGTTTTAGCAATTTGCTTTAGTAATTGTGCTCTCTTGTTCCGCAACAGTTTTTCCGCTTTCTCGATTTTCCAGGCTTTATTGGATTGTTAGCAACGAGCGTATCATACGGTTCACGTCATTATTTGATCGATAGCAAATTAATTATCACAGATTTATTTTTCAGTAGACATAGTAAGATTCGTAATTTTGACAAATTGCTCGCATAAAATTAATCGCAATAAACTTTGCGATAGAAACATTTGTTTCCTTAAACTTGACTTGTATATGTGAGTATTACTGCTATACTTAAATATTAAATTATTGTGAAATAGGTATTATTTAAGTATTAAATTAATGTGTAGTGCAATATGTATAATTGCATTATAAAATGAAAATAATCGTATTTATATTATTTTATATTATATCTCAATTTTTATTCTCGACGAAACTTTATTAAAGATTTATTTTTCTTTCTGTATCATTTTAATTGTATTATTTTTTATTTCATTTTTTAATTTGTTCTTTATTTAATTTTTGTGTTTTTATATGAATTTACAGACCCAATAATATGGTGGGCGTGCTATCTACGCGTTTACAGGAAGTATATGCCAATTGGGAGGCCAGGACAGAAGTGCGGAATGCAGAATCGACAAATAGTCGATATACATTCGATGGTAATGGCAATTTTCTTTTTTGTTTCATTTTGAAGTTATTCTTGTGTAAGTTAGGACATCAAAGGATTGTAGTTATTAGGGTCGACAAGTATCGTCTCGCTCAAGTCTATAATTACCCTCTTGTGCAGCGAAATTCCTTTAAATACAAAATGCATACTGCGAACAGATATACTCTTATCTTGCGAAATAAATATTATGTGCCATACTCGTTAACGACTTTCTAAGAGGAAAGATTATTTTTCACTTTGTCTTTTCCTCGAATCATTTAATACAACTGTAATTTATTTATTAATTTTTTATATTAATAACAACAAACATCCATTATAGTTTGTTCTTGTGTGATCTCATTTTTATATTTTTAATTTAATTTAACAAACTAAATGAGCCTTTTGTTTTTCAAACTTTCTTGTTCTTATTTTGAAAAACAGAGTGTATACTCCCAGGAAAAACCTTGAAAACTTGGTATTCTAAGGAAATGTTCTATCTGAAAAATTGAGGAGTTCTTATGAAATTTTTAATTGGTACTCAGAGCATTTGTAAAAAATTGCCTCTTTAATAATCTTATTCTTATTTAGCATATAGTTTAAGAAACATATGTCTAACATATTTTTGCAATATTTTATTAAAATTTTATGTGATTGTATTTATTAACAATTTATTTTTAGTATCAAAGATCTTATATAAGTTTTATAGAAAATTGTTCAATTTTTTAATAGATAATATTTAAATAAATTAGTACTCCTTATTTAATAAATAATTAATTTAAATAACTTAATACTTTTTAAGAAGTTTATAATAAATTATTTTTGTTTTATATTTTTACTTTATATTTTTGCACATATTTTTTGCGTTTATACATGATGATATATCGTACTTTATTACTCAAATTAATTTTATTTAGATTAAATTTATATAATTATATAATTAATCAGTTATATAATAAATCAATATTAAATTAATGCTATGAAAACTGCACTTTTGATAAATTTGCAATCGTATGTATATAGAAAATATTAGAAAGAAACAATACAATAAATTTATATTGAAAATTTACATTTACAAATCTTAATTTATTTGGAATTTTAAAAATCAGGGAAAATTTCTCAGGGAAATTTTTTTTATAAAATTTGAGTAAACACCCTGAAAAATTAATTTATTATTTTTCTTCTCTTACATATATATATATATATATATATATATATATATATATATATATATATATTCTAAAAGTAGAAAACTCATTGGACTGTGCCTAAAGTTCCTTGTCATCATTTTTTACATAGATAAACATTTTTCTTTTAATGAGATACAGTCGAACTAAATGCGATGTGCGCACGATTACAGGTCTTCGACAGGCCGCGAAGAACTTGCGGCGAAGCAAGATCCAAGAAAGGGAAGATTGGCGTAAGGTACGCGAGTTTTCGTTGTACAAGATTAAGGAGAGCGAGCCACTGCCGCCAAGGATCAGACCAAAATTATCGTTTCTGCAATACTGCTGCAATACCTGCACGCCCGCATCCAGAGTAAGTTTTTTTGTGCGAGGCGACCTATCGCCGCCTCTTATCATCTCGACCACGCAAACCCGACCGATTTGTCAATCATCGACATCTTCTCGCGTGTTTATTGCCAATCTAGCCTGTCGTGCGATTTCACGTAGGCGTAGGCGTGCACGAGGTCTACGTTGAATTAAAGTATAGTGGCGTAGTTGCGTTAACTTACCGAATTTATTGTTAAATACCGATGACCTCGTTGCTCCGAGTTTGATTGCCGTTGATCCATTGTTCGTCGATGAATTTAGTTGAGGGGATACGGTGCAACGAGGTGAATAAAGACCTACCTTGAGTTAAATCGATTGCGATTTCTAATAAAGTCGCTAAAAGATCATCAAGAATTATACATATAATTTATTATGAGAGGTTTTCACGTTATGTTATAATGTAAAGATAGAATGAAATCATTAATATAGATTTAATTATACATATAATTCAATCATCTCGTAACGTGCAATGTTTTAGTAATTAATAGACACGTTTGTGAATTATCTGCTAAATATTTTCTTTATATGTTATTATTTATTAATCAGAATTTAGTCCACATTTATTTGAAATATTAAGAAGGAAAAGGCTATTTTATTACAATATTATTCGTGTAAGATTGTTTTTAGAGAATTGAATTATTTACGATCTAAAGCGCAGTAATTTGTTTTGTTAAAGCGAAGATTTTGTCAAATTTTATCATCTTTATTCGCGATATTCGTTGACAGTCATATGTCATTGCAACCGAAATCCGCATAAGAGAAGTAATCACATGCGCATGTTTTAGTCGTTATTTAAAATCACAAGAAAGGTATATTCTGTATATCTCTCGTCGGACGACATGAACGACACTAAAAATACATTTAGTCGAGATCGTTTAGTCAGATGCTACGTTTCTTAGTCTCGTAACCACGCGGAGTCGCGAATATCTGTTCCGTGATTTTTTGCGGTCACATTTTTTTTTACAATAATTCATACTAATTAATCACACTAAACTAAACTCACGTTACTTCTTGCTACTTTTGTAAGACGTTCTATTCATTTTCACACCCACGATCTATTTTCGATATATGACTAAAGATACCGTATAAGAACAAGGTGCGGAAGAGCACGGCAAGACGATGACGATGCAAATAAATCGTTTAAAGACCAACCTCTGTCTGTGAAGATACCAAGACAAAATTCTTCGAACGGCGTCTTGTCATTCAAGTCGCGGGCGCGCGATTTTGTGGCATTATTTTCGTGTATGACGCATCAGCTGCTGCATCATCGCAACGGCGTTTTGTATTTTCTGATAGATCAGGATCATGCGATTGGACTTCAAAAATCGGCAGTGCTCTCACGATACACGCAATTATAGCTTTATTAACTAATTATAAGATGTGTCCTCTGATACACGTTTAATTATGTAACTTCTCCTCCGTCTCCTCTCATATCATTTGGTCGTCGTTGGATAAAAGAAATTATCACGCACGTTGTATGTATCGATGCGTGCAAATGTGAACTTTGCACTGGTGGAAACTTAAATTTCAATTCTCTACGAAGTGAAATCTGAAAAGAAGGAGAGATCCATTGAAAGGAGATTTATTTTTGTGACACACATGTTTCATGGTATACTTAATCGTTAATGATTCGATGAAATTTTTTATGATTTCATCAGAAAACCAATATAAAAAATCATGCTTTAACGAAGCGGAAAAGTGTCGCTGTGTTTATAAACTTACGGACGATGAGAGCTTCTGTAATCGTTAACATAATAGTAATGGCGGCATAATTGATATGTTAAACATGTATTTGATTTTCTGAATGTAAGAGAAATGTGCGAGGAACCACGTAGATTCATATCACGATGGTGGCGTATTGTAATTGTTCGTGGATATCCAAAAAATGTGAGTTGACAGTAAGAAGCTAACATAATTTTATGATGTCTTTATTCAGAATTTTTTCAAATTTCTAATTAGAGAATTAGAAGTATAGTAACCATAATTGTAAAATCAGACAGTTAGTTTCGAAACATCACATTTTAACAGAGAGTGCGGCCTTATTATTATTATCTAAAAAATAAATTTTAACTTGTTCCTCGCTTCCTCTTACTCTATATTTTGTATATGTGTGTATGTAAATATAAATTTTTACGCACATGCTCTTTTCAATCTTATAATCTCGATAAAAATATATTACTTTTTTTTACAGGATTCGTTAGTAACTATTGTGCGTGAGAAGCAACAACTGCATCCGTACGGTTTGAACATATTATTAGTAAAACCAGGTTCGTCGCTTTTCTCAAGAATATTCAATTATGTATCTCATGTCTCGAGCTTCAAGAGATATGACTATCCGATGATCACGAAGACTGTAAGTTTTGATTTTATGAATTCTTGTCTCAAAAAAGATATTTTATTTTTATTAAAATTTATATTCTTGTTTTGTACTATATCCAGATCCTGAATGACGAACGACTGAAAGACGTTGTCACAGTAACCGCCTGGGACACAGCTAATAATGAGGGTTACAGCAAGGACGAGGCATTCGCGAAGACAAAAGCTAGGGCGAAGAACATACTGCTGCAAATGGAGAGCAGATGCAGCGACGTCTTACTCAAGATAGTCGCGTGGCTGATATATAAACTGTTGCCCTGTTTCATACAATCCGCCGTTGTGTTGCCCTCGCAAATAGAATTGTTGAAGAAGGCGAACGAAACTGGATTACCGCTCGTGCTGCTACCGCTACATCGCAGTCACCTGGACTATATAATGATCAGTTTTCTCATGGTCACGAATAACATAAGGAATCCGTTAATTGCAGCAGGGGACAATTTGAAGATTCCATTCTTTGGGTAAGCTCAGGATCTAACATCAATCTAGCAGTTAACGTTTATAAAAAAAGTCCAAGATTGGGTAATAACTAGTTAATTATAGTTAAAAGTTAAAAAGTTGAAAAGTTAATTACTTTTAACTTAGCTTAGTTGATTTAAAATGAGTTAATTTGTAACTTCAGTTAGTTATTTTTAGATTTAAACTAATTAACATTTTTCTAAGTTGCAATTTCTTTTTCTTTTAATATTTTCTTTTAAACTTAGACAAAATATTTAATAACGATTACAGTTTAATAAGAATATCATTCTGTTAATTTTTGTTTATGCAACTTTTAACGTAACTAAATTAATTTATAAGTCTAATTTAGTTTTAAAAAATATTTATAACTTATCTAATCCTTCAAAAACACATTTGTACATTGATCGATATTATTAGATGGCTGCTGAGAGGTCTGGGCGCTTTCTTTATCAAACGTCGTATCGATCCGGTAGCGGGACGCAAGGATCTTCTCTACCGCACGGTTCTTCAAACGTATATCATGGAGAGTCTTCGAGCCGGACACAACATGGAATTTTTCGTGGAGGGCGGCCGAACGAGAACCGGCAAACCTTGCATGCCAAAGAGCGGTATTTTAAGCGTCATTGTTGACGCGTATATGGACGGAACAATCGAGGATGCACTGTTGATACCGATAGCGATGAATTATGAACGACTGGTGGATGGAAATTTTGTTAGGGAACAATTGGGACAGCCGAAAAAAATGGAAACTTTCACTTCGGCGATAAAAGCAATGTGGTCGACGCTCATGGGGCACTACGGTATCGTCAAGATCGATTTCTGTCAACCGTTTTCTCTCAGGGTAAGATTATTCTTATCTTTAGTCAATTAAAAATTACCACATCACGGTGGTGATAATCGTAAGAATTATTAATATAGAAAAAAATTGACAGGAAATGGTACAGACCTTTCAAGCTCAGCAAAATAGAACCCCTCTTCGATCATCACCGAAGCAACCTTTAACATATACTATGTCGAACTCGTCTATTTATGGTACAGATGTCATTGTAGAGGAACATCGTCAATTAGTGGACAGCATTGCCCGACATGTTGTATATGGTGAGTGAAAAAGAATGTTGTAGAATTTTATAGATCTACGAATTAAATATTACTTAGATTATATTTTTTTATCAATCACAAAATATCCAAATAACACTGATTTTTCGCAGAATTAGATTAATCGGCAAAATGTAATGCACTCTCTGTTGTTCTTCTTATAAAGTAAATTTTTATTAATCTGAATTATTGACTTTAATCGCTTTTCAGATTCGTCGAAATCCACACCGATCATGTCGACCAATGTTGTTGCATTTTTACTATTAAATAAATTTAGAGATGGCTGTACACTAGATAAATTGGTCGAAGCATTTGAAACGATACGACTAGAGTTGGAATTTAACAACATAGATATAGCGTTTTGTGGAGAGAATATTGATATTATTAAACACGCGGTTAGTAGATGAGAAAAACGTGATTGTGGAGAGAGAGAAAAAATGAAGAAATTTATGATTGAATTGTATACAGCTGGATATCCTGGGTCCGGGCTTAGTGATGCAACAGCGGCAAGAAATCACTGAATCTGTCGATGGCGATCAGTCTTACAAATCAAATGTCGTCATCGCAATCCGTCCTGTGTCAATTCTACCAAATGTGATTGAGTTATCGTACTACAGCAACACTATGCTGCTATATTATGTGATGGACAGCATAGTAGGTAAGATATTCAGCGTGATCGGAGAGTTACTTTTTAATTCTATAACGAAACTTAATTGTTATATTTTCAGTAACTGCTTTGTATGCTGAATTGCAGTCACAGATTAACGATCCAGTCGCAATTGCCGAGAATAATATTACAGTGCTCCAAAACACTTTGGTTAATCGAGCACTCAAATTGTGCGACATTCTGAGGTATGAGTTTATTTTCTGCAGGCCTTGCCAGGAACTCGAAGATATAGTTCTCGAAACGATAGATAAATTTATGCATAAAGGCATTATCACCAAAGAAGAGGTTTGTTCTATTTTTATTTTGATAAAATCAAATATTTTTAACAATAATAAAATATCTTTAAATAAAAAATTATTTTCACAGAAAATTTACCTCGAGGATGAGCTTTGGAGTAAAAGATACGCGAAAAATTTTGACGACAGCTCGGATGAAGAATATCAAAGGGAACAAGACATCTGCCAAATTAAATATAAAGTAAATAAAATTTTTTAAACATTAATGATAATTTTTTATGTATATGAATAATAGCTATATATAACACTCTTATACCAAAATAACATTGACTAAAATATTCGATATTTATATATTTGTACTCTATATTATAAAAGTACATTTTAATTAGCTTGTATAAATTTTTAAATTATTACAAATAATTTTTTATTTATAAAAAAATATATATATAATATATATATATATATATATATTGTATATAAATTATATAATTTTGTAAATATTACAAATAATTTTTTAATTTTTATATATGAATGATTTCACAATTTGTAATTTGTTTTCATTATTTTTAGTTGAGTTTAAGTCCAGAGCACTCCAGTCAAATGGAATTCCTGCACACGATGTTACGGCCATTAATCGATACGTATACATGTAGCGCTTTCAATTTGATGAAACTAGTCGGCCGTTCGCTTTGCGAGCGAGATTTAGTCCAAGAAGTATTGAATGAAATCAAAACTAATTTGGATGGAGGCATAGTTAATTATGGTGAGTAATAGTGTTTTAATTCAGTAATTAGTGATTTTAATTAAATTCAAATATAGTTGTTGTAAAATTCTATTAACTGCAATTTTACATTTTGTAAATTTGTTTACGAATTAGATGTGAAATAATTAGTTTTTGGGATCGTTAATATAAAAATTGAATTTTTTTCACATTTTAAAATAATATCCTGTTTCCTTTTTTTTAATTATTATAATAGGGGAAAGTTTATGCGTCGATCCGATAAAGAATTCATTCAAGCTTTTCGAAAAATGGAACGTTCTAGAATGTCACACGCAAGAAAATATTAAAATTTTGTACTTGAAAGAAGATTACGATAAGGAGATGATAACGAAAAGCGTGTATGATACTGTAGCAGCTTTCAAATGGACTAATATGAAAAACGTGAATTAAAATGGTGATACTTTCTATTCTGCGCAATCAAAATGATTCTCCACAAATCTTATTTTTTTATATCTTTTACAGAATCTTATTGACACATGTTTGTTCGTTTTTTTTTTTTTTTTTTTACGTTGTACACGTGTTAAATATATATAACTATAGATACACATATATATATATATGTATTTTATATATGTATATATGTATGTATTTATAAATATATATAACTCATAGACATATAGATTATATATATTATATATAATTATAATTTATATATGTATATATAATATATAATTTTTTTTATTGTAGAAAAAGTAAAGATATAACTATGTATAGTATGTCACTTGTGGATGTTCCTAAAAGCAATGTGCAATTCACATTCACAATGAAATACTTAAAAGTCCTATTGCATAATGAAAAACTGTACAAAGATCATAAACTGTAAATCTGAGATATTGGTTGTATCATAAAATATATTTGTATGAATAAACTGATAATATTATATATCGTCTAAGACGTTAATAATTTTTAGTTTAATAAAGTTAAAAATAATTATATAATTTACTAAATATCTCTTTAATCAGTTTCTTTAAAATTTACAATAATTTTATACATCTTCCTGTAATGTATGTAGCACCTTAAAATTTTACAGTTGACGAAATCGAATAACTTCTCCTGATTCCCATACACTTTTCTCTGTCAATGAAGAGTGCGTTTGTTTTGAACTTCAAGTCTCTTTTCAGATTAGATTTCATGCATAAGAGTTGTTGATGTTGCGTCTCACACTGTTGCAATTTCAAATTCATATCATTTATCATTTTATCAATATCCTTCGCTTCTTTTATTATCCTAGAATAATGAAAATCGTTATTAGTTATTAATATTATTGGTTTAATAATCATATGCGTAAATAATTCTAGCAAACCTGAATTGATCTTTGCACAGTTTAGCTTGCGGACTCTGATAAATTTTCGTCTTCAGCGTGTTTGCAACTTTCAGTTCTGAATCTTTATCGACGATAGTCTTTTGCATTAGTTTCATGCTTTTTTCGATATTTAAGATTTCTTCTTGAATCTAAAATATCCAGATATAGATCGAATATACACAACAATCATTATCAAAATTTTAAAGTCATTATAAAAGATTTCGCACAATCTTTCAGGTATTCTTTAAACATCTTTTGAATTTTTGTATTATTTGAAATGCGAATAAGTAATTTTATTATAATCTTAATTTCTTGTACTACCTTATGCAAATGTGTTTCTAATTTTTCTTTCGCTTTCAATATTTCATTGATTCTTCTAGCCAGCGCCTTATTAGTGTTTTCCCAAGTTTCATATGTCTCGCAGCTTACAGCATTCACAGCATTATTGATGTCGCTTCGTAATTGACACGATTTCACACATTCTGTCTCTGATTGCTTTATTACATTATTTGCCGTTTTTATCCAAGATTCGGTCTCGGTGATACTATAAAAATAATTGGGGAACAAATTAAACTTATAAAGATCTCCTTTAGATATATAGAATTATATACAGGATAGATATTGATTTTTTATTGTATCTCATTTAGCATTAATAATGTTATGAAACAAATATCGAATTAGAAAAAAAATAAGAAAAAAAATAATATAAAAAAAATTTATTTAATTTTTTGAATTTTTTAAAATAAATTAAATGCTCCATTTATGAGTAAAAAAATTTTATAATTATTACGTATTGTTAGGATCGTATTTTTCTATTTTATCATAATACTGCAAGTTTCGGCTAAAATTATTTGTCTGATGACATAAATCGCTTCCTGATACTGCTCCTTCATTCCGTATATTTATTTGCAGCTGATGTTGCACTGCTCGATTATTTGCTAACTGAAAGGTTGGATAAAATGAGTTCCTTAAAATTAGTGTCATGTATTATTTGTAAGCATACGACATACCTGATCGATGCATCGATTTGTGAACGGTTCTAATTTCTTTTCACAATTTCTTACTGTTTCTATCTCTTTCAACAATGCACTTTCGACTTCATCGCGAACTAAATCGGCATCTGTTAACATTAATGTGTGAATCTCTTAGAAGATACAATTAGACAAAAATATATGTTTTTATATCGATTGTTTATTAATACATTTAGTGATTGATCTATTATATTCCAATATAAAGTGAGGAACCTTCTCTGAACTCTCGATGATAAAGACATTCTTGCGTGATATGTAATTGTCCCTCGAGATTCTGAATCACAATTTGCAGATCACGATAACACTCCTGCATTTTATCGTCTTCTGTAATTAATCTCTCCAACTCCGATGCTATTTTGTTCCGTGGAAAGGAAGTAAAACTTTCTTCAATTTTTTGGCCGTTCTCCATTCGTTTCTTTTGTATCTTTTCGTCAGCTTGTCTGACAATGTAATATAAATACATTATAACAACAGTAAATTTTATGTGGAAATATTCTCCAATTACATATAATTTATTAAATTTTAATTTTAAAGACACACAATTCAAAACTTACAAAAGGTGCAGAAAGATTAAATCAAATTAAAATTCAAATTAAAAATTAATTAGTAATAAATAAATTATATATAAATATTGATAATTAAAATAATTTTATAAAAAATCTATCGACTTATATATTTTTTATTTAATTTAAAAAGAGATGCATTAAATATATCTAAGTTTGAAGAAGGATTCTCCTACTTTATTAAGTATATACTGTCCTTGCATAATTTTTCGGCATAATATCTATTCGAATCCACTTCATTATAAAGTCTGATTTGATTCTGCATCCAATCATACGGAGTGTATCGTATATAAAGTGCGGCACGTGCCGCATGCAAAGGATTACGATCGAAACCAGTCACTAAATTTGGAAATTTTAAAGGCTTTGTTATCATTCCATATGGTATGCGATAAGCGTCCATCATTAAATTTGTTACAGGTTGTACGGATCTAGTATAAATTATTTCTTTTTTAGGTAAGAGAAATATTTTGTAAAAATTTTCTTTCTTTTTTTTGAAACGACATAATAAATGTCTTGAAATTAAATTTGTATCTTGTTATAAAATAGTGTATTTATTATCTGTATAATTAAAAAATATACATTTCCAATTTTTGTGGAAAGATAAAAAATTACTTACGAAGGAACTGCCTCCAGGATTTTGTATCCCAACGTAGGGCGCCAAGGATGAGATCTTAGGGTTTTGTGAAATTCTTTAACTTTGACCGAAACTGAAGGATCAGCTGCTTGTTCCATACATGATGGAACGTCTATGGTCCATGGTTGGAGTTGCTAAATGCAGTAGGATGATATATATAATTAATATAATAATAAATAAATAATGTATATAATATAAAACGTGTTATATAAAATGTTATTATAATAAATCAATTGTCATAAAATCACAAATCATTTCTTGAATAAATAAGTTATATATATCATCATTGAATAAAATTGTTCTCTCATGTGTCGCACGCAATTTTTCATTTATCCAATTTATATAAATAAAAAATAATATAAAAATGCAACCGTATACTTATAGCGATATTTACAGAATATATAACGGCTTTAGTCCTCTTCTCGCTTCTAATGTTAGCCATGATCGCTTATAATAATTTCGTAAAATTTTCTTTATGTCCAAAGAAGATACACAATTTCAAATGTTACAATTACTCTGAAATAATCGCTAAATCAAAATTCACTAATGCCTGTCAAAAGCATTGACAGAAACATATAATTATTATTTTTAAATTTAATTACTTAATATTTTGTTAATATTTTTGATAGTAATCAGTTGATTAAAGCGTTAATTTGCTAATTAAATTTTAAAATAATATATAAATAATATGTTTAAATAATTATGTTTATAATATACTTTATAAATTCAAGTAACATCTTTGACAGTTATCAGCTGATTTCTGTCGAAAGGTATTAATCCCGAATATAGTACATTTATTTACAATTTACAACGTCACTATTTTATAGTTTTAACATATTATACTTTAAAATTTAATTAGCAGATTAATACTTTAATAAATTTATTTCTCTCAAAAAATATTATTAGAGGTTAAATATTATTATTTTTATGTATTATTTTTTTCAATACTTTTTTTAATATAAAATTGAAAAAGTCTTCTCAAAGAAAGAAGAGGGGATAATTTATCTTACAATCTTTCATCAATTAGAAATCAATATCTTACGCGACAATCGGCATTTATAACGAGATGTATACTATCTTATGATAGCGCTCTTTCAAAATCCGGAAGTGCATCGACCACGTGACACGCATCATATGTCATATGATCACGAGGTGGTAGTCAGGTGCTTCACGGTGCCTTCTGCTCTGGTTGGTGTGCGGTGCTCTCTCGATCTGTCGTACTCGGCTAGATTTTCGTCCTAAATTCGGCTCTAGGATGACAGGTAGCGCGAGAAAAGCGAGCTCGCTCCAGGCACCGCTCCTCGTGCTGATCGTCGCCTGTCAATTTGCGTTTTCCCACGCCGGGACGCCTGTCGTTATATGGTGTCCGCACAACGAATCGTCCGACCACAATTCGCAGTTGAAGATACGCTTGAATCCGTTGCAGAAATTATCGTCGGAGGAGTTCGAGGAGAACTTGTCGCGGTCGGGTCTGACGGAGCTGACCACCGTCGTTGTCGAGGAATTGTGCGTCGAGGATCTGAGAGATAACAAGGTTAGACGAGTACTTACGTTTGCTTGTCAATCCATATAATTCTTGGAAATATATTTTCCCAGGACACATCTTTTTTATAAAATGAGTACATTATTTATTTTTAGAAATTATCCATATATTTTGTAAGAAAATTTTCACTCTATAAGCTCTTTTTCTACTGTATAGTGAGACATAGTTTATAAAGATACGTTAAAGAGCGGAATAGATCCATAGGAGATAAAATTGTATAAATGTTATAGGTGCTGCCAATTGTCACCAATGGCTCAAAGTTATATTATTACCCGAGTGTTTTCAAGCCAAATACGATTCTTGAAAAACTCTACAGCGACAAACAGATCAGAACGTTAGAGGATATAAATGATGATCATGAATTAAACATGGTCTTGAAGGATACAGATTCAAGTGAGTGTATAGCACTTACAGGAAAGCAATGCCGTTACAGTCAACCTGAACGTATAAAAAGAGAGACCACTGAAAACAATACTGCAGAATTTGGAATAAGAACAGACAGAATTCTATTCTATTCCAGTAAACCATTATCATTCCAGGTAAAATATTATGAACTTAATGTTAACATTTTGCAAGTAATCATAATAAATTTCAAAAGACTTAACAAAGTTTTAAAATTGGTAAACATTAAAATCGATTAATAAAAACAGAATATTAAAAATATTGTGATATCAATAAAGCCAAAAAAATACATTAAAATTTACATAGATTAAATAAATTTTATAATTGCAGATACCTGAAAAATCAGAAAAGGAAACTTTGGAACTGTCTAGAGCTAAAGTAACTAGAGCATCATCTCGTAAGGAGAATGATACACTGATTTTAACCATCAAATTTGCCGGTATCGAGGACATTAACGAGCTGACGCTTGATTTCTCCTTCCCAGTCAAAAGCATGGGATACTACACATTGGATAAGATCAATTATGAAATAACAGGCAAAAACGGTGCTCTATCAACCAAGCGAGACATTAATTTCCCATTTAATTTTTCTTATCACTGTTCATTGAACACCATCTTCGTCAATGGTCCTGTGAGTTTAAATATCACGGATCTGCAAGTCCAAGTTGATCATAAGGATGGCACGTTCAGCGATGCGTACGACTGCGTCGGTTTCACTAGTATACCTATTTGGACGGGAATATTTGTAACTGCGATATTGGCCTTAATTATGATATGGGCGCTTACCATGATTATGGATATCCGTACAATGGACCGATTCGATGATCCTAAAGGAAAAACTATCACAATCTCTGCCGCGGAGTAGAGAGATAATAATAATAATAAGACTTTTCTGCGTAATGCGATTGTGTAAGTATTAAGTACTCGTGCGAAATTTATATTATAATACAGATATCACGTCATAATATCTCGTGTCCATTGTTCGCAATAATAATTATACTCTGGACATTAATTTCAAAAAAAAATTTGAGTTTCATATTTTTAACAAAAAAAAAGATTCTATTAGCGAGAAAGAGTAGTAATGATAATACTAATCTCTCATTACGAAGAACTTCGATGTATAAATATCATTCCGTTGTACATCCTTCCCGTAATTTCGATATTTATACATATTTAATATTTGTATGTTTGTTGATTGTATGATATAATGTTTATGAAATTTTCGTATTATTTAGTTAAATACTATATGTAGGGAACTTATAAAATTGTTTGAATGAATTAAGATATCACAATGTACACACATCATACAAGGACATTAAATAAAGACAAACAAGAAATGTAAAATGTTAAAGCGTGCATCATTAGTAGAAAAAGAATTTTGTGTAACCGTATAAATCCGCAATTACGTGCTATACCATTGACTGTTATTCATTTGTACAGCGTGTAATATTTGTCTCTGAGAAAAGGGACGAAGTAAAATAGATCATAAACTAAATAAAACGTTATACTGTTATACAGTAGACAGATAAATATGTAGCTATGAAGCGCCACGCGCCTTCAGAAAATGGTACTCGCGCTTGTATAATAAGCGGCTTACTCGTTAATAAGAATTTGTAAAAATATGTAACATAAGCGATACGATATATAAATCTTTAATATAATGTATAAGAAAAATATATACAGAATATAAATGTCATGTAAAATTAAAATTCGTAGTATTCTTTAGGAATTTATTCACAGACTGGAATATCGATACCGTGAATTATTATAAATACCATAGAGTACGGTGATAAAATCACAGGATCTGTAGGATCCAATATTATAGGTCGAAATGGCGGCAAGTTTCCGTTCGGTTGCAGTTTCAGCACTTCGCTATTCAACTTTATCTCGCTACAAAAATAATATAATAATTGTTAGATTTATCATTAATTCTTATCTTCGTGATAAAGAGCGTTTACCATTTTAATTAAATATTTCTATTTAAATTTTAATTTATATTTATAATAATGTACACAGGGTGTTGAAAAAAAAGGTAAAATATTTTAAGAGGATTTAGTATGTTTCAAAATAAGTTAAAGTCTTAATAAATATGAGTACGCAAATAAGCCATTTTTGAAATATTTGTAAAATATAACTAATTTATCTATATTTACATGAATAAAATAATAAAAGTTTTTCAAAAGCGATTTATTTGTGGACTCATATTAAGACTTTTCAACTTTTTGAACATACTAAATCCCCTTAAAATATTTTAAGCTTTTTTCAACTGTATAACATCTCTTCATATTAAAGAAATAAAATTTAGAGAATTATGTAGAGGCACATATTTAAATTATGAAAGAAATTAAATTCTTTATCTTACATACCTCGACTGAAGACTTTTGGCGGTCAAAGAATAAAAAAATATCTTCACAATTTTCCCAGACTGTACAAACAATTCTGGAATATCTACGCGGACCGCGATCTTGTCTATATTCATTCCGTAGATTGTTACAGCCGGTACCCTGGCAATTCGAGCCTCTTTTGGCGTGCAGTGCGCGTATAGGCGCACGTAGCCGAAATTGTTGGATGTGATCAGTTTCAGGACCTTCTCCGAGACGAATTGTTTGTAAAAAACGCTGACCCACCAGTCGGGATTTGGCGTAAGATCCGGCGACACCATAGCATAATCTCCGCCGAATAGCGACTGTCTAGTGACGACGTTCAATCCCGCGCTAGCGCTGTAGCCCAATTTATCCAGCCACAAAAATCCGGCTACGAATCTGTCTGATAATTCCGGCGCTCCTCCTCCATACGCAGTACTGGTTTCCGCTGTGAATTATACATCCTTTATATCTTTTGAATATTGAATATAGCTTTCGCGCTCATTCGAAACAATGGAATGCTTTTGCTACAGCCTTAAAAAAATATTACATATTTAAAAATAGCAATTACATGTATAATTATTAAGGTATAAGTATGATTTAGAGAAATTGTTCTTTAAAAATAGAATTAAAAGTGAAAAAGCGAGAAATAATATTATATATCCGAAGAGAGATCTTCCTTAATTCTAATATAAAATACACACACAGCCACATAGAAACGCTTCTTCCCGATGCAGCGATGTATTCCCCAAAGGATTTGATTTGCATCGGTAGCCAATTAAATGTAAGAGGATTCACGAAATCTTGAACTGTAGCCTCTCGCCCATTCAGATAATACTGATGCCAAGTGACGTAATTCACGGTACTGCTTTGACTTTTTAGAAATAGCTCGGCATATTCTTCTCCCATGCGATTCCGTTCTCCGACATGATTCACTTCCGGTCCGACAAGGATGCTATCGTCATATCCCGCCTCGTCTAACAATCGCCTCAAATGATCGTAATTCTTTGCAAGTTCGTTTGCGCTGATTGTCACGTTGAACACGTGTTTAAAAGAATTCGGTTCTGAAAATGTTTGAAATAATTTTAAATTTTATGCATCATTATGCAATTATACAAATTTTTTTTTCTTCCACATGCATTAATTTTCTGTATTTATTATATTTGCTTACCATTTCCCAATTGCCAATCTAATTCCAAGCCTTGATTCTTAGCAAATGTGATAATCTTCTGTGCATTAGTATCATTCCAAGATCCATCTGAATTTCTGAGCAGAACATTCAGGTCAAAGATCATTCGTAATTTGGACTTTTCTGTAAAATTGTAGATAGCAAGTAAGTCTGCACCAGAGATGGTAAAATTGCTGATGTCTTGACCATCCACAGGACTGAGAATCTTTTCAGACGAACTTTGCACAATCTGAATTATTCAATACATTAAGAAAGATTGAGATTACAAATTTATAACAATTTATTACAGATTTATAACAAACGTTACCATTGTGTCTCTCAAAATAGATATAAATAGGTAAATAAAATTTCTTTCAATAGGAATAACTAGTGGGATTATTTTATATTAGGAGAAGACAATATTTTATGGACCAACCTGATCCTGGTCAAATATCAGACAATCTGCAGATGTTCCACCCACTCTAACATAAGCAGGACTCAAGTGACGGGCCAGGTTGATAAATTTCTCTTGTCTCACAGGCAATTCATTCATCATTCTGAGTAAGGACGTATCAAGACCGAATGACAAAAACTTGTCAGAAACAGTATGCATGAGAGGTTGTCGTAGGTCCAAGTGCAATACATTAGTACGGATCGTTGGAATATGTATATTAGGATTCCATATTGAGAGTATTAGTAGTAGCGACCATAAACCCAATACAGTACAACAGAGAATGGAGCGAACTGTCGAGTCTGCAATAGAAAAAAAAAAAAACAATTTGTCAATATATTTAAAAGAATTAAAAAAACTATATATAAGAGCACGTTTTCGAAATGTATAAATATTAATAACGTAAATAAAAATAGATATAAGTCAATAAATAAATTTATAATTGGAGAATTATTTGAATACACATGTACAATTCAAAATATAATCACGTAACACGACATTTTCCGGTAAAAATAGCATATTTTTTATCGGCAATGAGGAAAGAGAGGCTAATTCGCGTTGAGAGAAAAAAAAAGATAATTGACGAGAAAGCATCCATTTAAAATTATTAAAAAGAGATTTGATCGAGATTGAAGCGAGCAAGCAAAAGAAAAATGCGATAATCCATGTATTTTCTTTTACGATACGTATTTCAAATTCATTGTGACTTACTGTTACTTTGTCTGTGGACATCATTCAGATTCTGATAACGATTCTTGCTCCAATCGTTATTCACGAAGTAGTTCATCGTCGTTGAAGCGGCTTCCCCGGCTCAATTAACATCAACACACATTCACCGGTCTTTTGCGCATCAGTGAACAGTTGACAGCTGATAGCTCGAGCGATAGATCGAAAATCGAAACTTTCGCCGCGCGCTGTGACAGAGCGATTGAGGCGGCAAAAAAAACAATTATAATTTCCAACATAATCGAGATTTCTCAATCCATATTATTACTTAATTCATTATATATTATAGTTATAGTTTATTACTTTTTAGATTTCGAATATAAACAAAATTATTATTTTTAATATTATTTTCACTCCTTTTTTTGCGCAAAATAAGTTTTATATTTAAAAACTAAAAGAGTAATATGAATTAATATAATAAATTAATAACAAATTAATAATATAGATTAAAAAATAAATTTTGATGATTTTGAAAATGATTGAATCAAATAAATACGAAGAATTTCCGTTGTTCTCAGAGCTTACCGTTTTTTGTCAAATAAAATGTTTCTTGATTATCTTGTAATCGCTGGAATTAACGTTGTAAATATTACTTGAATGCCTTTTGCAATCCGATTTTTTTCGCACGGACGACATCGCTCGCTCGTTTATGATTATTTTTATTCGACGAGATTATCTGGTGATTTTCAATATGCAAATCAGTTGATTTTCTGTCAGAAATAGATGCAGTTTGACATTCCGGAAAGACAACTTCGTTCATTGTACAGATTCTTTCCCCGATACTTGTACTTGATTCTTTCTCCGTATTGACAGATTGTAATTTGACAGTTTTTAGTTTTTGTCGCCAACATCGACAATATTTTCGTATTTTGCAAGCTACGGATAATTGCATTTCGATTTTAAAATTAGCATATGTTTTGTCGACAATTAAATATTATATGTATTAAAGTACAATGAGAGAATATTTTCCTTATATATATTAATTGTATACATGTAATTTTAAATACTCAATACGAATAATTAGGGAAATGTATCCTAATAAAACACCTTTCGGCGAAGTCTCTGCATCGATCGAATCAGAACTAGAATGCGAGGAATTACGAGCGAAAGAACGGCTTCTGTTCGCGGTGCGATTCCTGTAGGAGACACTTCGTCGACGTTTCCTCCTCGTAGTCAATCTCTGACGCGATTCCGATGAATTGCTCAATTCGTCTTCCGCCCAGAATTGCCGATCGGCATCGTCCGACATCGGTAAAACTGCACCGGAAGACTAAATACGCGATTAATACAATTTTACGCCATATATACAAGTTAAGTAACGTTGTATAACGCTCATTTTACAAATTTTATTGTAATTAGATTAAATCGAAGTATAATTTTAGCTCTATGAAGAAAACAAGCAGATTATCGTTCACTCTTTGAATATCAGCTGCTAATTTTTATAAAATTTATCAATATATATTTGACATACAATAATTCAAGCGCGAGAATATTTTATAACGATATAATGTTTTTAGATTGAATTAACGTAGTTTTCGTCGCTTACAGTTTCACCGAAGGTGTTCGAAACGCGGTTTCTTCTCTTTTCTCTGCCATCGGAGACAGAAAATTCGTAACCTTCCTCTTCGGAACTACCCATTATCTTTGCATCTCCCCAGGCGCAATAATAACCCATGTTTTAAAGTCACATATATATATATGTATATACAAGTCATACACGTAAGTTATAATTATATATATGACGCATGATATTGTAGTTTACAGTTTTTTTAAACGTACATACTAGTGAATTTTCATGATTTAATCGAATAAACAGACAGTTATGTACAAAGAGGTGTGTAGTGTTTTTTTCGTTCACATTTGTGACATTTATGGTTTTTTCTGGTTATCTGTCAAATCATGCGCAACCACGTGAGTTTTGTCGGATGACATTTCTATATAATACAAAAATTAAGTACATACTTAATATTTAACTTCTTTTGAATCTTTGTTTATTGTACATTTGCAAGAAATAAATGTATGTCTGTTTGATGTAATTGACAGCAAAGAAATTTATCTTCATATTATACTTGTATTTTCATCTTTGTTAACACCTTTTTAATGTTTAAAGATAAAGAAAATTCTCAAACAAAAGAGTCAAATTAAAAATATTTTTGCAATATTTCAACAATATTTTGTAGTTGTCAGTTGTCAGATTTTATAATACATTATAAAGTATGATAGTTAAATCAATTTTATAATATGATAAGAAAGTAATTATATCACAAACTTCTCCCATATGTTTCGCTAATCATAGTCGAGTCAATACATATTTCTCAACGCCTGAAATATCTCTCACTTTTTCCCTTTTGCATTTCCTTCCTTCATCTTCAACATGTTTGCAAATGCAAATTTTGATATTTCATATGTAGAGCTTGTAATTTAATCGTTCTCGGACTTTCTGCGTTTCTTTGATCGTGGACTGTCGGTGTCGTGGGGACTCGGAGTGATGTGACTCCGTTTTCGCTTAATGCTGCTTTCGCTTGCCTCGCTGCTACTGCTTGTGGCAGTTCTGGTCTCCCTTCGGAAGGTTCCCTCTCCTGTTACTTGTACTAATATCTAAAATCAATCATACAATTAATATCACATTGCTTAAGAAAAAAATATTATAAGAGATGCACATCAATAACACAATCTAGAACACGTACTATCTTATTTCAGATTACATTAAAGATTAAAGCATTCAATCTTTATGTCCATTCAAGGCTCCTGGTTCTTCGTCGATCATGTTGGAATTGTGACGTCAGCGGGGAAAAAACACACGCTAAAAATTTTTAGATGTCTTTTCGAAATAAAAAGATATTTCAATAAAACGCGACGTCACAATCTAACATAGCCGCGGCGAGGATCCAGGAGCCTTTAAAATATTTTTACTAGCACTGTATGTAGAACTGCTTTATGTATGAATTACACTATAATAATTAAATATTTACCTGCATATGCTGCAGGCACTCTTCTTGCATCGAAACTGCCATTTTATAGATAAACGTATCATGCTTATTGTACATAATGGCATTCTGAAACATAAGCATTACGTCCCTTTGAAAGTGCATTGTCGATCTGATCGTGCCGTTGTCGATATTCTTCTTGATAGTCGAAAGATCCATCGGTCGGAAGATGACCGAATGATATCCGGGCGCTTGGTCTTCCGTGATCGGTCTGAGAAACACCGATGCGTATTTGTGTGTGGCCAAACGATTATAGACAAGCATAACCGCCTTCTTCCAGGCGCGATAATCCGCGCCCTCGCCCGTGCCCTCGTTCTCTGGCTCGCTGTCCACAGCGACGTTCTGCTTCTTCGAATACGTCTTCATCGCCCGTCCGCCGCTCAATTTACTCAACGAGGACTCCTCTTCGTCCAATTCCCCGGGCTCTTCCGTGGATTCTATCTCCTTCTTTATGCTTTGCTCGCCCTCAACGTTCTTCTTCACGTCCTCCTTCTCCTGCTTTATATCTACAACTACCTTTTTGTCTTCTTCCGGTGGAAGCGGACTCTTCGCGCGAAACGCACCTGTAGCTTCTGGTTCTTTTTCGGTTTTTGGCTCCTCGGACTTAACTTCCGCGTTCTCGGATTTTTTTATGTTTGCGTCGACTGTCGCAACTTCCATCGATTCATTCTTGACGTTCTTCACTTCTTCTACAGTTACCGCAGGAATGGTATTCTCAGTTCCGTCAACCGGCTCGATTTCTTCCTCCTTTATTTCTACATCCTGTAAAATGGAGCTTGTTGTATCCTCTGAGGAATCCTTGACCTCTTCCTTCTTAAATTCGTCCGTGTATATCTCTAAGGTTTCCTCGACGGTCTCTTCTTCCTGTGATTTCACCGAGGAGTCCTCCTTTACTTCTGTCACGGTTTTCTCTTTCGTTAGGACCATCGAGTCTCCCTTGAATGATTCCAAAGACTCGGTGCTCTCGACCGTGTTTTCAATGAGCTGCTCCTCCGCCACTGCTTTCTTCTTATTTTCCGAATTCTGGCTGCTTTCGTCGTCCTCTAAAATCAGACTGATATCTTGCGACTTCTCCGTGTCTTCGGCACTAGGCAAATCATTCGTCACTTCTGAAGAGACGCTGACAATCTCCGCGGATGGAACGTCCTGCTGATCCCCTGTAATTTTTGTTAAATATATATCTGACTGAGCTAATTTATTATCTTTACCTTCAGTATCTTCTGGAGACTCTCGTAGCTCTTTGGCGTTTTCTGATGATTCCTTGTCATCAGGTGCGGTCACTTCCGCTTCTTCCTCCTTCTCGCCGTCCTCTTCTTCTGCTACCACCGCTTCCGCTACAGTATCCTCCACTGTTTCCTTTGTTTCGTCCGGCTTAGAATTGCTCACTTCGACGTTTGAAGACGCGGTGTCTGCGGATTTCATTTCGACATCCGATTTCTCCTCCACCGGGGTATCCTTATTACTTTCTCCATCGTTAGCTAGTTCCAGAGCAAGCTCCTCGGTCACCCTCTCGTCGCAAGTACTCGTCTCGGATTTTATTTCTTCTGGCGTATTAGATATGATTTCTGTTATTTCCGTGACGATAATTTTGGGTTCCTGCGGTTCTATAGCGACGGTACCGATGATCTCGGCGATATTCGAGGTGCTGGAGTCGATTTCTTCGATCGCGATTTCGCTTCGCGGCGAATCAGACAGCGACACAGTCTCGTCCACGTCCCTCGGCTCTGGCTTCGGTTCCGAGATTACAATCGGAATTTCCACCGTCTGACGGGGCATGTTGGGGAGACTACTGGTAACCGCCGTCGACGTCGAGGTCGTTGTCGAGGTCGTCGTCGAGACGCTCGTGTCCAGGGTTCGCGGACTGCCAGTGATCTCCTCCTTGATCAATTCCTCAATGTCGCCGATGATCTCGTTTATCTCATCCTTGTCCATCACGTCCGCCATTATGTCCTTGCGTATCACGTCGTCTATATGATCAATTATCTGCACCATGTTCTCGGAGACGGGCACGTTTGTCGGTGCAGGGACAACCGCGGTGAGCGCCGAGGTCGTTGCTGCTGGTGCCGGCATCGTCGTCGTCGTCGTTGGTATAGTCACCGTCGTCGTCGCGTTCACCACCTCGTTTTGTATACTCATTTGGCGAATCTGGGACTGCGGTTGGGTTGCCGTTTGCTCAAACTTGCGCACCTCGGTGCTAGTGGCAGCGCCTGGTACAGCCTGCTGTTGCTGCGCGTGAGACACGACTCCGACACAGGTTTGCAGCTTTGGCAGCGGTCCTCTTTGCGTGGTGGCTGGCATTTCCAGGAGCATGGAAAGCGTAGGCGCGCCTACGGACGGCGGCGTAGTCGCGTTCGCGCTGGCGATCGCCGTCGAGACCAGCTGCTGTAGCTGTGGCGACACATTCTGCGTCAATTGGGCGTTCAGTATTTTCGAGTTGGAGCCGAGTAGACTGGTGATGGTCGGCGAACTGACTTGAACGGGAGTGGACGGGTAGGTCTGTATAGTCTGAGTGGTCGGACTGGGAGATTTTAGCAAGCTTGTCAGTAACGGAGATCTACCGCCTCGGTTGTTCTTTCTCTCCTCGTCGTTGTTTTCCGACGCGGACTCGGACGCGTGCTCTGACTGCGCCACTTCTACTGTGTTGTCCGCGTGTTTGCGCGTCTGACTCGCGATCGGGGACGAGACCACAGGCAGCGAACTCATCTCTTGCTTCTGCTGTTGTTGACGTTTCAACCAGGCCACGTGAGCCCGCGCCTTTTGATCCGTCTCTCGTTCCTCCTGTTGTATCTCGAGCCACATTTTCTCCAGCTTTTCCTCGCTTATTGTGCCCGACTTGAGCAGGTTTATATCCGCTTTGAGCCGCAGATACTCATCCTTCTGGGAAATCAGAGCCTGGTTCAATTCGGATATTCTCTCCTGCGTCAATCTTCTGACGATGGATTCGCTGGTGGTTTCGCCACTCTCTCGCTTCTTCCTCTTCGGTGTGTCCGCATTCTCGAGTAAAGACGCATATTGCATGGCGCATGACTTTTGCGAGAACCATTCTGGAGGCCTTAGCGATTCCTTTTCGATCAGCGACTTCAACGATCTGGACACACTCATCCAATTTTGATCCCCGGACTTCAATACGCTCGATGCAAGATATAATTGTTCCCGTGTCGTCCAAGCATCACAGTTTGCACGCTTGAGTTTTAGTCCTAAAATTAAATTATATTTAATTATATATTCTTAATGTTAAATTATATTTAATTATATATTAGTTACATGTAATTGATATTTTATATATATAATATATAAATAAGTAATTGATATTATTTATATATGATTGATATTGATATTTAATTAAATGTAGCTTTTTCACATACATTGAATAAGAAATTAAATGTAAATAACAAAATAATAGATATTATATTTAGAAAGATTATGAAAGTTGGATTGACAAAACAAATCTTATATATTGCATAGAACTAATAGAAATCAAATTAACAAAGCGTTTATTTTTGTAATTCAAATATACGTTTTAATATATAAATCTATCGTTTCTTAGTTTTCTCAAATAGAGTAGGAGAAAGTGTATTTAAATTAAAAAAACGAGATAAATCATATGTACGACTATTATCTGCTATTGACATTCTTTGTTCGACGTATACTTATGTTTATTATTTTATATCGAGTATTTATTCATTTTATTAAAGTTTAATAAAGAAAGTTTAATAGTTAACAAAATGTCGTAAGTATACGAGATTATCTAAAAACTGATTGATTTGAAATTAAAACATTCTTTTACAATATACAATAGCTATCCTAACCTATAAATCACAGATAATGTAAAAGCATATCCCAAGCTAAACTTACTCTCCTGCATCGACGCCATTGCATCTCTTTTTAAGCGCTCTTTGCAAAACTTGCTACTATTTTGCAAAATACGTGCTATTTATAAGCTAACGAAATTACGAATTTAATTTGTTGTTGTATTTTTATGCAACCAGAGAGAAAGATGAGAGCGGCCAGGCCGGCGTTTTGGCTGTTACCGTTTTTACGGGACTGCTTGAAGCGCCCCTCGCACCCGTTTTTAATATCGGAACTAACTGCACACCCATTTTCTGGCAGGGTCGATAAAGTTTGTATTTGGTGCGAGTCCGTGCTACGCCCATAATTTTCGTGTTAACACAGTATCACGTATTCATTCTGTATATGTGCGATCTTTTCTCTTTATATATATATATATATATATATATATATGTATTTATATAATTTGTATAAAAACTAAAATATAATTATTAAAATATATATATATATGTATATGTGTAATGAAATATATAAATCTTATTTTAATTAAAATAAAAAAACGATTAATTGTTCGACCACCTGGATTTTGGAATGTAATTTTTAATATATATTATATTATATTTAATATTTATCGCCGCTTCTATTAATATGAAGTGCAATGTCAACGTGCAATAATGTACAATTATTTAAAGTTTCCATGCCTAATGTATCATGCCGGTATAAAAGAACGTCAAGTAGCATGCGTAGCCGAGCAACTAAGATGACGAGCTGAAATCGTGGACATTTCAAGTTCAAACCCCTGCCTTTTTCAGATTTTTTTTTCACTTTTTTCAAATAAGTTATTATGTGTATAAATGTGTAATAATCAATATATCATTATTTGATAATTTTTTTTGTAATGGAACAAAATAAATTATTTTTTAATTCTGCAAGGAATTTAATTATTAATGCAAACGCCCACACACATAATTTAGATATTCAATTTTTTTTAGTTCAAATGTTTCTTGCAATCTGTATACGACAATCAGTCCACTCGCTGTGCCACAGATTGCATCGCATAATACGCTCAGAGTTATAATACGATAGAGATCGCTTTACGCTGTTTTTCCTTGAAATAAATAAATTTTACGTGTTGTGTACGCGTGTTTAGTATATTTGTTTCTTTCATATTAATTTTAACTATAATTAGTTTTTTAATTAAGATTATTTTAGTGTTAGTTGTTTATTTGTTAGTGTCCTGTTTTCTTTAATTTCGCATTTTTTAATTTTCTTTTTTTTTTGGTGTTGGTGCTAATTATTATTTTTATTTTACAATGTCGAGTAAACACCGGTTTTACGATAAATGTGTGTATTTAAATTGCACAAATATTAGGACAAAAGATGGAAAACGTTTATTTCGATTTCCATTACAAACGGGTGCGAGACATGATTTATGGTTACGCAATAGTGGTGAGTTTATAAAATTGATTTACTTATTTATATCAATATATAATATATATTGATATGATATATGAAACAAATATATATATATATTCTTTGTTTTTTTTAATAAAATATGTCAGATATTATGTATGTTTACGTATGGATTACGTTGAAGTGTTTCTTTGCCGCGTTTTTCTGATCTCGCCGAACGGTTCGCGAATCCTGTGCGAATAAAAAACGATGCGCGTGTGTGTGTGCGTGCGATTGTGATGATCAGTTTCAGTTCGTCTTCAACGCTTGACGAGAGAAGAGGTCCCGAACTGCTGTAAGTTTATAAAAACATATTTTTGTATAACACATTAGAACGATTTTATATTATTTTTTTTGTCTAGAAAACGTTATATTAATAACCGTTATGAAAACGATCTCGACGACGGCGACGATGCCGGTGACGACCGTCGTCGAGATCGTTTTCATAACGGTTATTAATATAACGTTTTCTAGACAAAAAAAATAATATAAAATCGTTCTAATGTGTTATACAAAAATATGTTTTTATAAACTTACAGCAGTTCGGGACCTCTTCTCTCGTCAAGCGTTGAAGACGAACTGAAACTGATCATCACAATCGCACGCACACACACACGCGCATCGTTTTTTATTCGCACAGGATTCGCGAACCGTTCGGCGAGATCAGAAAAACGCGGCAAAGAAACACTTCAACGTAATCCATACGTAAACATACATAATATCTGACATATTTTATTAAAAAAAACAAAGAATATATATATATATTTGTTTCATATATCATATCAATATATATTATATATTGATATAAATAAGTAAATCAATTTTATAAACTCACCACTATTGCGTAACCATAAATCATGTCTCGCACCCGTTTGTAATGGAAATCGAAATAAACGTTTTCCATCTTTTGTCCTAATATTTGTGCAATTTAAATACACACATTTATCGTAAAACCGGTGTTTACTCGACATTGTAAAATAAAAATAATAATTAGCACCAACACCAAAAAAAAAAGAAAATTAAAAAATGCGAAATTAAAGAAAACAGGACACTAACAAATAAACAACTAACACTAAAATAATCTTAATTAAAAAACTAATTATAGTTAAAATTAATATGAAAGAAACAAATATACTAAACACGCGTACACAACACGTAAAATTTATTTATTTCAAGGAAAAACAGCGTAAAGCGATCTCTATCGTATTATAACTCTGAGCGTATTATGCGATGCAATCTGTGGCACAGCGAGTGGACTGATTGTCGTATACAGATTGCAAGAAACATTTGAACTAAAAAAAATTGAATATCTAAATTATGTGTGTGGGCGTTTGCATTAATAATTAAATTCCTTGCAGAATTAAAAAATAATTTATTTTGTTCCATTACAAAAAAAATTATCAAATAATGATATATTGATTATTACACATTTATACACATAATAACTTATTTGAAAAAAGTGAAAAAAAAATCTGAAAAAGGCAGGGGTTTGAACTTGAAATGTCCACGATTTCAGCTCGTCATCTTAGTTGCTCGGCTACGCATGCTACTTGACGTTCTTTTATACCGGCATGATACATTAGGCATGGAAACTTTAAATAATTGTACATTATTGCACGTTGACATTGCACTTCATATTAATAGAAGCGGCGATAAATATTAAATATAATATAATATATATTAAAAATTACATTCCAAAATCCAGGTGGTCGAACAATTAATCGTTTTTTTATTTTAATTAAAATAAGATTTATATATTTCATTACACATATACATATATATATATATTTTAATAATTATATTTTAGTTTTTATACAAATTATATAAATACATATATATATATATATATATATATATATAAATAAAGAGAAAAGATCGCACATATACAGAATGAATACGTGATACTGTGTTAACACGAAAATTATGGGCGTAGCACGGACTCGCACCAAATACAAACTTTATCGACCCTGCCAGAAAATGGGTGTGCAGTTAGTTCCGATATTAAAAACGGGTGCGAGGGGCGCTTCAAGCAGTCCCGTAAAAACGGTAACAGCCAAAACGCCGGCCTGGCCGCTCTCATCTTTCTCTCTGATGCAACATGCACCTATTTAAGGGTCGGCAGTACACCCAGGCAAACTCCGAATTGATATTGGAGACCTCGTGCGGTGACAACGCGAAACTCCGGTTTCAGTGTTGCCAACGCCGAGAAACCAATTCTCGGGTTTTATGTAGTGGTGTATGTCTGTACACGTACATACACCAACTGCATCGCTCACGCGGACGCACGTAAGAGAGACAAGGACCGATAATCACGTGTTCTCCTTGTTCATCTACCGTGCCGGTATACGCGAGATGCCGCCTGAAAATGCTTTCTGGCCTTCCGTAGCAGAAAGCAGTAACGTAGCAAGACTAATAAGCACCCACTTTTTGGAAGTATATATGGTTATGCACATATGTGCATAACGTATATATATAACATATATATATATATATATATATATATATATATATATTATATAAGGGATATGTTGATTATATTCTTGATTTCTTTTTGATTATTGATGCTATTGTATAATTTGCTCCAAATACTTATAACGTGAAAGAACGTTGAGTAATGTATAATCAATGCAAGGATGTTCAGTATATCATCCAGTATATAAATTAGAGTTCAAATATATCAATATCAATTTTTTTATAATATATATATATATATATTAGAATATAGAAAAATGATAAAAAAATATATTTCGGCGATTTAAAAATTTTTTAATATATTGAAAATATTTTTACTACATACACTATATATAAGTGTAAAATAATTCAGAAAATAAATTTAATAAAAATCTACATACCAGCTGTGTGCATGTGTGCAATTGATTTATTACTTGAAATTTATTTACGGAATTATTTTGCATTTATATATTTATAGTATGTGTAGTTGTAAAATGATTAAAATATTTTCAATATCAAATTTTTAAGTTTATCGCCTATATAAAAAATATATTTCTATGATTTTCTATATTCCAATATATTATAAAAAAATTGATATTGATATATTTGAACTCAAGTTTTTTACGTGATTAAATATTCTTGCATTGAGCCATCATACGTTACTCGTAAGTTCTTTCACGTCATAAGTACTTATGTAGCAGAGAGAAAGAAATGAGAGTTATACAATGTAACATCAATAATCTTATATATTATAATCTTATATATTATATATATATAATATTTCATTTATTTATAAAAAACATTTTATAAATAAGTAAAATATTATACAGACAATGTACAAGATGTTCAGTTTGTGCCATAACAAGCTTCAATCAATAATTATTACTCCAATGAGTATAATTCACAATAATTTTTATATAATATAATAAATATTTGAATATATAAAAATATTTTTAAAAATTTGTTTTAAAAATTAATTGAAAAAGAATATTTAAAATATTTTTTTATATTTAAAATATTCTTTTCCTCAATTAATCTTAAAAAAAATTTTTAAATATTTAAAAATATTTAAAAATACTATATATTATATAAAAATAATTGTTGATTATTATATTGGATTATTAATTGAATGAAGCTAGAGCTTTTAATATGGCTTTTAATACTGCTTGACAAGGAGAGAGCATCATTCCATCTTTGTCTCTCTTACATCGCATATGTAGTAGCGTCCATGTAGGTACAAACACTAAAAAATATTAAATTTAATTTTTTTATTGTTTTGAATAATTTTATCATTAATATACTTATTTTCAGAACTATTTCAATTTTTATTTCATACTTATGTTTATATAAATTATAAATTAAAAACATATCAAAAATGTAATACATATTAATAAAATGCAAATACATATAGAAAATTAATTATAAAATGTCATCTTAAAATAGTTTTTATTTTTGTTCTTTATTTACATATGCATACATATACAAAAAAATAAAAATAATATGATAGCCTTTTTGCTGACATTATCTCTCAATATTTGCATCCGTGTGCTCACGTATTAGTGTTTGTACCTACATGGACGCTACTACATATGCGATGTAAGAGAGACAAAGATGGAATGATGCTCTCTCCTTGTCAAGCAGTCAGCATGTTACCACAGAAATTTCCCCTGCTCCTTATGAATCTAGTGAGAATCTTATCGTCCAGATATTTCATAAAATAAGTGACATAACTTCGTGAATTTTTTTTAATATATTCTTTATATAATAAAGCAGTCCTCTAAAAGGCCGGATTTTACATTTTCGCTCTTAAAAATTTATAATAAATAAAATACGGACTCGCGGCTAACCCAACCTTACCCGTTCCTAGCTGTGCATTCCCCCAAGTTTATTAAAAATTTTTATTTTTATCTTTTTTTCATAAAATAGCTCTTTAGAGGACTACAAATGAGCTTACTGATTAAGAATATCCTAAATTTAATAAGATTCATTCAATATTTTCGCTAATATCTGGAAAATAAGAATCCGTAATTCCCGGCCGGCCGATAGGCGTCTCCACCATGTCGCCTGCCGACCCTTAAAAACACGAAAATGGTTCGTTCCATCCAGTTCCTTCGTTTCGAAGAGCTTACACATGCGAACAGTGCTACCAATCTTTTTACGTTACCAGAATTAAATCCCAGTTAAAGGGATACCAGATTATTTCGTATTTTGCGTTATTTCAACTTCAATTAAAACTCTCTCGATTTATTATCTTGCAATTTTATTAATTTCACTCGATAAATTTCGACATTTTTATAGAAATGGAATGAAAAAGTGAGGAACGTGCAAGAAAAAAATCTCCCGAAGAATCAACCCTGCGAGCTGTCATCTGTCATCGTGGAACGCGGAACAGCTGATTGCGAGAAACGCGAATGACAGGAATGAAACGCGACGAGAAACGTCGTAATGGCGGAACGAGTGGAAGCTGCTGAAGTATGTTTCAACGACACGGATTGTTTTTCGCCGTGAGTTGAAACAGTCGCCCGTTTGTGTTCGTGTTTGATTGTGCACGCGCTCGAAGGTTATTAATCACTCGCCATTGAGGTCGGTCGAGTCCTCCCACAACGACACGATGATGAATAATCGCAGACGAAGCAATAACTTTACGTACGTCAGTTCGTGCGTGAAGTACATGATCTTTATGCTGAATTTCGTCTTCTGGGTGAGCGACTCCTTCCCAAGATTGTATTCGTGTAGAGCTTCTTTTATTCTTTATTGCACCGATTATCTGTAAATGTAACTTGTTATTTGGTACTCGATGAGACAAAAGAGATCGACATATTTATGTCACTTTCACTAATATGAATTAATTTCAATTGTCTAGTAAAAGCTCAGCTGATATAACTTTATTTACTGTTATATTAGAAAGAGAAAGTCTAATTTATATATTATATTAAAGTTGATATCCAGAGTTAAAGAGGTTGATATTAGATGAGACAAATGACAACATGATTTTCTTGTTTAGTTATTTGGCGGACTATTAATTGGAGTAGGTCTATATGCTTTCGTGGATAAATGGCAAGCAACAGGATCTGTCAGAGTGGAAAACGTTTACGATGTAGTCTTAAACATCTCCCTGGTGATGCTGATAGCTGGTGGCGTCGTCTTTGTCGTTAGCTTTGCAGGATGCGTAGGAGCTCTTCGTGAGAACACATGCCTTCTTAAATTCGTTAGTTCTTTTGTACACATTCTTTTGTTAAAGTAATCTCTATAAAAATATATTTTATTGTCTGACTAAATTCCTTTTTCAGTATTCATTGTGTCTTCTGGTATTTTTCCTCCTGGAAATGGGTGTGGCAATTGTTGGATTTGTATTTCCACATGCATTGCAGTCTCTTTTGGAAGAATCTTTTACAGACAAAATAATTCAAACATACAGAGAAGATCCAGATCTGCAAAATTTCATTGATTTTGGACAACAAGAGGTAAAGATTATGTAAATAAAGTTATTAAAATGATAAATGTATTGTGTTTATATAATCTATTTAATTTTATGAAATATTTGTAAAATATTTATAAAAATTTTCCACTGTAGTTTAAGTGCTGCGGTTTAAGCCAAGGGGGATACCAGGACTGGGGAAAGAATGAATATTTTAATTGTAGTAGCCCTAGTGTGGAGCGTTGCGGTGTACCATTCTCTTGTTGCATAAATGCTACTGATATATCTGTACGTATATTATATATTAGAAAAAAAAATTTTTAAGGAAATTAAAACATTCTTTTATATATATATATATTTTTTTAAATTTCTTATTCTCAATGAGATAATTTAAATTTTCAGAGCGGACTTGTAAATATAATGTGCGGCTATAAGGTCCAGATGTTGCCAGTATCAGAAGCAAGTAAAAAGGTGTGGACTAGCGGCTGCATCGAGATCGTGCGTAGTTGGGCGGAGCGTAATCTCTACACGATAGCTGGTATCGCTCTGGGTATTGCGCTCAGTCAACTCTTCGTGATCTATCTCGCAAAAACGCTGGAAGGTCAAATCGAATTGCAGAAGTCCCGCTGGCATTCCTGAGCTTGACTTCAGGCCACCTACCATTATCAGATACATTCTCCAGCCAACAGGCAGGTGGCCAGCGGCGGTCGATCGCGCGCATCGCATGATCACACAGAGACAAATATAAACGCGCGAATGGCATTGCTCGTCCTCTTTGCGATCTCTTTATACATATTGTGCATTCTATCCCTCATCAAACTTGTCCTCTACTTCAAAAATTACTTTCACCTGTACGTGAGTAAGGGATAAAGAGGTCGTTGATTCTTTGTCCATCACTCGCAGAGGATACGTTTACGCGATTAGCTATCGATTAAGACCTTACATTGAGATTATATACATACAGGTGCAGAGAGAAATAGTGTCCTATGTATTTACAATCAGTGATCAAATTGTTTTCTAATATTCGGGAAATATACTTTTTTGTTCACACAGAATTAATTGTATGATCAATCGCTCAACTGCTTCGTGCTTGCAAAATGGCGAGGTCATGTTTTTATGAATGTTGTATGGGACACTATTAATGCATTTCTCTGTACATGGAACTGATGACTCAAATGCGCTAAAGACAAAAGTGAGATATTTACCATGACGAACTCTGCAATATGCATTTCGTTGAGTGTATTGCATTGCATTACGCGATATTATAGAACACAATCTCAGTTTTACGATTATATGTAACGTCTGTTTCGCAAACAATTTTATTTTTTTAAATTAAATTTGTTATTTTTGTATCAATGTACACACACACACACACATATATATATATATATATATATATATATATATATATATATATATATATATCGCTATTATTTTTTTATTTTCTTGCAACACAGGATAGCTTAAAAAATATTCAGATTTGATATTCTTTTTGCAAGATTTAATTACAGCATAAATTTTATCGTTTTTAGTAGTTTTTGATAGAATGACACAAAATTATTTTAATGGTTAACATTGATGTACTATTAATAAGTGATATAGGAGTTTATTTTAAAGGAATTCAATAATCGTGTGCATTTTTATATATTGCTTCCATTAAAATATATGTAGAATTAATGAATTTGAGGTTAGAGATAAATGTCATCTTGTAAATAAATCTTGAAACATTAATTTGCTTCATTAGCTAGATGTAAATTATCATCAAAGTTTTATTTTATATTGTATTTTTAAATATTTAAATATTAAATGTGTTCTTGATTATAGACAATATACATCTATATGAACAGTTTCTGCTCATTATACTTTTTTTAATGTAATTAATGATTATGAGTGGAATATTACTCTTACTATAAATGGATACACACTATTGAACTTCAATAATTATAATGGTATTTCATTAACTTGTTCTTCTAGTATGTACGATGCCATATCTGTATTACATAAAATTATGAACGAGCGCACATTTATTTGTACACATTTATATTGCTCACCATATTAGCAATAATTCGTGTATATGACACAAGAAACGTCCAGTGCCAAAGTCAGAGTATTATTGTTCTCTTATTTTAAACAAATCTGACAATAATCTGGTATAAATAATTCGTTTAATGCATTTAGATGTCTCTTTGTCAAGAATGAATGTAAAACCACTGATATAAAACCTTCTAGTTTTTAATAAATAAGTATTATTCTAAAAAGTGTGTGTTATTTTGCTATCAATAAATCAAATTGTATTGTGATAAAAACTTATTATATAACCCAATACATCACAAGTGATATAAACAGCTACCCCATATACATACACTATTCTATTTAATAAGTGTGGTGGACTATTATATAAGATAGCAAATTGTGTATAAGAAACTTTATTACGACAAAATAATCAACACCTATTTGTACAAGGATGTGTCAATAGGTACATTATTAGAATATTCCAGAATGACTCGCTGTCCATCAACAATAGTAGAATTTTCAAATAATTTTATTAAAGGGGTATCCATTTCATCATATATTAGAGCTCCGTTAGAATGATGAAAAAGTTGCAGTTTATTCATAATGGTTGAATTAGTATTATTAGTATAGGGAACTTTAAGCGTATCTGCCATTGAATCTATACATTTACCAATCGTCCACTGCATGTTGACAAAGACACCTTTAGATGTGCCTATGTGTTTATTTTTAACTGTGAGTGGTAAATGCGCAAGGAAGTAACATCTTTCGCTCGTTGGTACATTTTTCGGACCAATTGCGGAACCTTTTACACGCATGAGTTGCACCTATAAATAAATAAATAAATTTGTTAAGAATATTATTTTCTAATGTACTAAAAAATATTTTCTTCTTTATATGTGATAATATAATAGTACCTTATTTGCCATTGCTGTATTCTTAGATTTTCTCAAGCTGTCTTCAATTTGTTTATCTACAACAGCTTTAGCTTCTGCAAATTGTTTCTTAGGTATTTGCCACTTTTTCAATTTCTGAGTTTTCTCTGATTCACTCAACTCTAAGCATCCATGATGTCTATGCGTTACACAAAAATGCTGTTTACATTTGACACATGGCATCTCAATTAGCGATGTTTCTTTGCAAGACTCTTTGGAGCATAAAAAGTTTACTGGTTTTTCTACAGCACATTTTGCAGTCTCCTGTTTTAAACATTCGTGTGACATCATATGAAAGTGCTCTTTACAGAAAGTGGCCTGACAATGCTCGCACACAAATGGCAAAAAGTCCAACAATTTGCAGTCCTTCATCGCGCAGTGTTTGCCAGTTTCTGGAAATTCCATTGTGATGCAGTAAGAAAAGATATCGAGAGATATATATATATATATGATCTATTAATCCTTCAAATTCTTGAGCAACAATATTCAATTGTGCAGAGGTGTCGGGGAATGCAGATGATTGTCGCTGAGAGAGCTCAAAGCAAGATTATTCCACTTCTGCTCCAATTCCTTCAACGTCATGTGAGAATCTCCGTTATCACTCTCAGGATCTGGCAATTCAGCCACCGGGGTCGAAATGTCGTCGATGGGTAAGCGTTCCTTGCGCCAGCTCTCGTCGATTACGTCTATCAATCTACCATCTCCGCACACCTGGCTGTCCATGTCGCAAATGACAATCAGCACATTTAATCTTAAAAGAATATTATCGTATTTGCACACACGCAATGCTATTTCAATTATTTGATAAATTTTATACTTGAACGTCAAATATTAAATCAAAATAATTATGTCTATTATAACATTTAATTTAAAAAAATTACATCAAATGTTTTATATGTATAAATATACTTGAGACTCTTTTTAAATAATCATTATGCATAGTTTTATACGATTTTTGAGCATACTTACTATCGATGAAAAAATCTGATAAGATTGATCCAACAATTCTTAATATAGAAAATCTGAAAATTCAACAAAATTGGCAGAATGACATGCTTATTTCGACGTTTATTTTCAGAAATTTTTCTGGTGAACAGAGTATGTACCATGGAGAAGATAACTAGGAGGCAATCGCGCGCGTTTGCTCATGCGCGGAAATCAGCACGTCTCCTTTCACGCATTTAGGCATCTAGTGCCATTTTTGGAGCAAGGTCTAGCAAAGTAGGAAGGAATGCATGCAGGAACACGAATGTGACTTTCGCGCGACCAGAAATCAAGACGATTTTGCTTTTGCGCGTAAATCGCGCAGTATAATGGCGACGCCAACCAACAGCAACGGTAATCTCGTTGACGAGTTCGAAGAAGCATTTCAGGTATAAAATGCCCGATTTCGAAATTTTCCCTTCCACCATACATGTGCTTTTCCTTCCGTGAAAATCTACGTTTACGAGAACTGCACTGTTTACGTTATTATTGACAATTTACATCGCGAAAAATGTCGAGGGATACCCTTGATTGAGGGAATCTTTATCAAATATTACATGTCGAATGTGGAATGTATAAAAGAATTGTTACAAAATAGCTTAATTGTTAGCACCTATTAATGTGACTAAAATTACTTTTAATGAATCACTTGTGTCGAAATTTCATTATCATTTACATGTAAGATTATGTTGTATTGAGACTGTGAAAAAGTGATGAGAAAATCGTCAGGCAAATGTATTGAAGCTTAATCACCATTTCCAGCAATGTTTGAGCATGCTGATAAAGGATGAAGGATTAGTAAGCAATGGGACTGGCGCTTCTGGTGGTTTGACAGTGGATAAGGATGAAGGTCGTGCGGAAATGGAACAAGCTACGATGAGGTTTATAGACCTGGCTAGGCAAATGGAGGCTTTCTTTCTACAAAAAAGATTTTTGCTGTCTGCACTGAAGCCTGAGTTGGTAGTCAAGGAAGATATCCAAGAACTGAGGATGGAATTGGCCCGTAAGGAAGAGCTCATAAAGAGACATAATGAAAAGATTGTCGTCTGGCAGAATATGTTGTCAGATTTACAGGGATGGGCGCAATCTCCTGCTCAAGGTCCAGCTCCTAATGGTAAGCCAATTTTAACACTTTTCTTGAAATAATATATTTAATATCACTAGTATATAGGATATTTAATAACATTGGTATGTAGGATTATCCAGTGGAAATCAAAGTGGGCAAAACCAACAGGCTGGAGGTGGCGGTGGCAATGCTTCAATGCAACAGCAACAGCAAATGTTGCAGCATCAGCAGCAACTGCAACAACAATTACAGCAGCAACAGCATCCACAATTGCAACAGCAGTTGCAGCATCCATTGCAGCAACAGGTATTTAAGTAATACTGTGTTATGACCAAAGTTAAAATTTTCTTGTTCTTCAGATTGTTGATAAATTTGGTACTTAAAGTATACGCATTTTTTGGAATTAGAAAAAATGAAGGGAAAAAACAAAGAACATTGTCACATGAGATAGGTGAAAGTAAATCAATATAATTGATAAATATGTTGAAAGATTTAACTTCAATAAGGTCAAGAAACTCCAATCTTTTGTAATTTTATAGAGAGCAAGTTTTTTATAAATAGTCTTATTGCTTCAAATCTAAATTGATTGCATTGTTCACATAATGCATTTACCTTGATATTTTAATGTTAGATCTGTTTTCATGTCACAGTCATACAAATGTTCTATCCGTATAGTCGTGTTTTTTTGCTATTTTTAATTATAATATATATTTATTGTTACAATGTCTTTTTTTTATTATTTATTGCATTTGATCGTAGATGAGCGATTGCCTGCATATGCGCGTATGTATACACGAGGACGTGTATTTGCAAAATTATTTATCTATTTCAGAGAATTATAGATTAATTAAGAGAGATTATTAAAACTAAGTAAATTCTTTGATAATTCTAAAATACTCATTAGAAAGTTAGAAAATGTTTTGCTGTTTTTTTTAAACAGTAATTGCTGACAAAGAGATTAGATAATTAGAGTCCCATCGGATAAGGGATAATAACTATAATAATGCGTATATCAGTGCCTTATAAAAATCTACAGATCTAGAAATGTAAAAAGAAAAACAGATTAAAGTGCTTTTATGATTACCTGCGATATAAAAGTCTATACAAAAATTTGAATTTTATTTACAAGAAAAGTATTAGAAGATTAACTGTACATGTAAAAAAACTGTTGTAAGATGGTGCCAAAACAATGAAGACGAAAATATGTACAAATATTTAACCAAAAAAAGAAAAAAAAGAAAAGAAGAAGAAAGTATAATAAATCTAATAATGGCAATAATACATCTAGGAATATTCCTAGTTAGTATGCTTTACATATTAATACAAAAATCTAGTGATTATCTACACTATATGTTCGAAAAGACTAATTCATGTGTACGAGTTCAAATGTATAGATAATGATATTTTTGAATATTTTATATGATTTCCTATTATTCATTGCATTTGATAAGATTTTATATTTTGTATATAGAGTTGTAAAATGAATAATATATATAAACGTTTTACTCTTTTTTATCTTATTTTTTTATATCTTTTTTTTATGAGTGAAACATAATTTTTTACATATCTTTGTATTTATAAAGAAATATACATATATATATATATATATATATATGTATAAGATGCTTACATACTTCTGCATGTAGATATTGTATGCATGAACATCAAGTATTGTTACGCGAATTAAATTTCGACTACGAAAATCAGTGGCAAAAACATAAATTACTTGTAAATTAGAATAACTATTGTCAAGTTCCTTCTGCAAATTTCATACGTGAGTCCTGCACATAAATAAAGAGATATATTTCTTTATACATTTAGATAAATATATAATAATATAATATAGAGTATTTATATATAAATTTTAAGTTTACAAACTATATAAACTCATAAGAGAAGCATTATAGCTGTTGCAATCTGAAAATATCATTTCACTTATGTTGTTCTTACTTGCAAATAGAGATGTTGCGACAGAATAAATATCTCTGTTCATCTCAAACAAACAACCATTGTGCTTTCTTTCATTGCCCTTGTCTCTTATCGTCACTCCTGTCAGATCCGACTGATTTCTCTCATTTATTCACGTGTGTCCCATCTCTTTCTCTCTTTGAACATATGCATGCTACGTGTAGAATCTATATTTTTCAATAGCTATCTTTCGCGTGGTAAACGTGAAAAAGTGAACTAGTACAGTACTATTTTTCCTTAATATCACAGCAAAGCTAGAGACAGATGTTAAATGCAAGCTTATGCTAGTTATATCGCTATGCTGTATATCTTTCCATTGCATTCCTGGTGTTGCGTACACAATACATATGTATCATGGGATATATTCAAGTATATTCTTCTCAGAGGCATTCTTCCAAGTTACAATAAGTTTCTCTTGGTGTGACTTTGCAGGTGCAGCAGGGTTCTGGTGGCCCGCCGACGTCGGGTCTTCAGGGAGTCGGAGTTCCAGTCAGTCAGCAGGGCATGTTCATGGCGCAGGGTGTAGCCGGTGGCAGGGCCGCCGGGTTCCCGGTCGGCGGTATGGGCAATAGCGCTCTGCAGGGACCTCTGGCCTTCCTGGAGAAGACAACGAGCAACATAGGGATGCCAGAGAGGCGGAGTTGACGCGGAAGGGGGAGGGGCCGGGGTCGGGGTCGTGGAAGAGGCCGAGGTAGAGGTAGAGGTAGCAGCGGTGGCAGTGGCCTACCGCCGCCACCACCGCTTCTCGATCCTTCAGACCCGTCGTCCTATGCTGCTGCTGCCGCAGTCGCAGCCGCTGCGGCAGCGCCCCTTCCCTCTCCGCAACAGCAGCCTCCACCACCTTGCACGTAAACATGTTATATGTTGTGTGTGATGCGGTTTTTTGTTTCTTTCTCTGAAGGAAAAACAGACTTCTATAGCTTCTTGTAGCTTCCAAAGTGTCGAATATACTTGGTTGTTAGACGGGATTTGTGTTTTGAACTCGCAAATTTGTTTATACAATGCTGATGGTGACTGTTGAAACGCAGTGATGATGTATGACAATTATATTGGAATAGAGATAGGTATGATTAATATGTACAAATGTAACTTACGAGCTTACGTTGAGGCAAACGCGTTTTGATAAAGTGCCAGTTTTATTGTATTCAGTACGAACATCGCATTTCTCGTGAAACTGTTACTGTATGCGAGGGATAGACTTTTTTTCAATTCTTTTCACTAGTCCCGAAAACTTTAAGACAAGAGCAAGAATTTATGCAGGATATGTAAAATTGCGATCTAGAATACGGTAGATATTTTGTAATTATAAGTTAAATGGCAATGTGAGACACTTGTACATAATGAAATTATATAACACGAGTAATGTGATATTTTTACTCTCTTGTACAGAAGGATATCTCGTCCTATTTCTTTATACTACATCTTAGTTATGATATTTTTTAAAGATGTGTGTGTGTGTGTGTATCAACATTTTTATAATAAAAATATGTGTTTATCACTTTTGCAGTGCCTTTGGACAATGATCAAATGTACTGTTTGTGCGACATCAGTGAAATTATTTAACATACTGTAAACTAAAATGTATGTCATGCAGGTAGATTATGCTAGATTAGTATAAGCATCTATGTCCTATAGCTAGAATATCTGCATACCAATTAATAATTTATTCATTTTTATAACTTTTCCAAATTCTTTAAAATTAGAATTCAGTTTTAAATTTATAATTAATGTACTCATGTATGGGATATAGATATAGTTGTTATGCATGTAAAACAGAATTTTGATTCAAGCTACAAGATTTTAAATTAAAATTAAACTTTATGATGATGATGATGATCTTTATATAAATTATATACAATAGAATTAAAATATCTTTTATAATTTTTTAATATTTATGCGATATATTATGCATATAATGTTGTTTCGTCATAGTCTTTTGAGTTTATGTAATGATAAGTAGCAGAATAATCAAATTTCTCTCACTTATATAAAAAAATATGTATAGGTAGCGATTCTTCTAGAATATATAACAGATTTATTTCTAATTTTATTTTATATATATATAGTTTTAGGATAAAGATATATGTAGTAAATATTGTATAAATTGGCAAAAGATAGTTTTATGTGCATTTTTTATCCATATAGATGAAAAAAATGCAAAAAATATTTTCTAATATGAAAAAATGATCGATTTATATTAGTAAAATAAATGAATACAATCGTTTATTTCTCAAATTAATAGGCCATTTTATATCTTTTATGCATCTTACAAATGCAGGACAGGATGCTTATATTATTTTTTCAATTCGATATATAAAACACATAATATATGTAAGTTTCATCCTGTACAATACTATATTGTATGCACTGTAGTATACATAGAGCTGATACGAATATATTAAAGTACATTTCTTACTTTTACTATTTCCAATTAATTTAAGATCCTGATTTTAATAAGAGCTCAGTTTTACATATACAGATAGTTTGTACAAAATTGTAAAAGAATTGTATATAAAACTTATTTTCAAATCCACTATACAATAATGATAGTTTGTTTTTTTTTACAGACAATCAAATGTATATGTAAATTGCATATTATAAATTGGAATTATCAGTTTTTGATCAATAATAAGAAATTGTATCTTATATAGGAGAATAGTGTCTAATATAGGAGAAGATTTTTTACAAGACTTTTCTTTGAAAAATAAAAATTATTTGTTGTAAATTTAAAAAAAATTGAAGACAAGTTTACTAATAGGAATAATTATTAAATTTTAAAAATATTTCTATATGTATTACTCATATTTGTTTTTTGTTGTTGAGACAATGTTGAAAAAAAATTAAAATAACTAAATGTACTATTTGTGTTTAATGTGATACTGCAAGCATTGAATGAGTTTCGATATTAAAACAATTTTATAAACAAAAATTTTATAAAAAATAAAATCAATGTTTCCCTTTATTATAAAATATAGAAAATTATGCAATATTATTATATAATTAAATTTCGTGAAACAAAATGAGTCTGGAGTTAATTAACTTTGATGAAGATTGTTGCAATAAGGCGAGCAACTTTTATTTTAATTATTGTAAAGTATTCTATTTCCAAATATTGTGTTATATGTATACATTTTTTGTTTGCAGGTTATATATTTTTTAAATATGTATGGTAACTTTTTTAAAGTAATATAGGCAGTACCTAATATGGTGAGGTATAAAAACATTAAAGCAATATAAGTCATAAAAAGTTGATACAGTGTCTTGTTTTCCAATTACCTTATCAGACAATGCTTCAAAGATAAACTATATTTATGCAACCTTTAACTGACGTATGTAAATCTTGAGTAATATATATATATATATATATATATACAGGGTTTGTCCGGAAGTAATGCGTCGCATTTTTTTAAAAAAGAATTTATTGATCGCATAGGTAACTTAAAATTGTTCGAAGTATGACCCTTCTGCGTCAATACATTTTTGCCAACGCGATTTCCATGCGTCATATTTCTGGAACTCCTTGACTATGCTGTTCTCGAAGTAGCTTGTACGTTGTCAACCGACTCGAGCTGTTGTCCTTTATCAGCCAATAAAAAAAAGTCAATGAGCATTTCAAAAGTTTCCAAGCTTCACGCAAAACTTTATCGCATATATCGTTCTCTCCATCACAAGTTCGACGCGACCACTAAGCAGAGGTTCACAGAATAAGCCGTCCTAACCCTCCAAGCGCATGGAAACAATTGAGCGACCTACCGTTGGAAAGCTAAGGGTACCCCCCTTCCTCCCCAACCGGTCCCATCGCTCTGCGATGTATAGTCGCGTCACAAAAAATGCGACGCATTACTTTCCGGACAAACCCTGTATATATATATATATATATATATATATATATTTCTTCGAATATATAACGTTATTTCTATAGCAGTGATATTTTCCATACATGCAAACCTCAAGTTTAATACTATCCAATGTGGATGATACAATGAATATAATTTCAAATTTACATTAGAAGTTACTAGCTTGTAGCATCCACTCTGTATTATTAATATTTTCTTATAATACTATATATATATAATAATATATAACAAAATACTGTAAAAACTGATAAAAGTTATTTAGTTTTTATCACTGTTTTTTTTTTTTTGAAACTAAAAAATGTTCAATGTAATCCTCTCCATATTAGGCGCGATTCCCCTATATATAATATATACACACGCACACACACACACATATATATGTATGTATGTATGTATGTGTACATAAAATGTATCTTATTACTTTGTATATACATACCCTTCTATGTATAAACTTTTATGTATATGCATATAAATTATATAACAGATTCCGCCTGAGATGTGCGAGTTGCGTAAAATAATTCGCTGCAGGCCTCGCTTAATGCGATTTTTACAATGCCTGTAGAAATTGTATTAGCGTACGTGTGGGACGCCCGGTCATTCCGGCCGGGATACACGACAATTCATCGTGAGCGGGACCCATGACACCGGCAATGTCCAAATGCATCCATGGTGTATCCTTAGCGACAAACTCCCTCAAGAATGCAGCAGCGGTACAAGAGCCGCCGCCCTTGCACTTTGCGATATTGTTTAGATCGGCACCCTTGACTTTTTCTGAAAATTATCGGTTTTGTTAGCGAAGTATTTAAAATAAGTGACAGATAATGAGGACATCATATTCGAGCTTTCTCTGTCAATGATTACAACAAAGATGATAACTGAATATTGCTGAGTATAAGGAAAAAGTATGTCCACAAATTTCTAAAATAAGAAATAATGATTGAAGTTGTTTATTTACTCGTCACTTCGTCGGTGAAATGCTGCCACAGAGGGAATCTCCATACTCGATCACCGGTTATCGTGCCAGCGTTTCTCAGGGTTTCGTAGAGATTACCGTCATTGCTGAACACTCCTGTTGCGGAGTTGGACAGGGCGACTCTCATGGCACCGGTCAACGTAGCGATATCCAAAATAAATCTATTTAAATCGAAAATCTATTAAGTTTCATCATGTGACTATAATCATGAATTTATATCAACAATAGCAAATAAATAAAATAAATATATGTAATATAGGCAAAATATATATATATATATATATATATATATATAATGAAAATAAAATATAAAAATATAAAACAATGAAATATAAATAATACATATATATAATAATAAATCAAATAGATTGAATAACACATTATTTAAAAAATGTTTTAAACAAAAGTTTTAATTGGAAATATGATTAAAATTTAAAAAAATTATAGAAGAACTTTATCTTATCAGTTCCCCAAGTAATTATTACAATGTAATTACGCCCCACAAATCATTTATCACCGATGTTGTACAAACAAATCTTCGGCTACTTACCTCGGATTAAACTCCTGAGCGTAGCACAAAGCATCGGCGAGAATCAACCTACCCTCCGCGTCGGTGTTGTCTACGATAATGGTCTTGCCATTCATCGCTCGTACCAAATCTCCCGGCTTCGTGGCATGTCCGGACGGTAGATTCTCCGTGAGTGGAATTAGTCCGATGATATTTTTCTTCAATTTTAATTCCGCTGCAGCTCGAATAGTGGCGGCAACGCAAGCGGCTCCGCTCATATCTGCGCGCATTTCGTCCATTTCCGCACTTGGCTGCAATCATGACTTATGATGATTGTTCTTTTTCGAAGTTTTCTTCCCTTTTTAAGTAGAAAAGGGCGACGCGATTCCTACCTTGAGGCTGATACCACCGGCGTCGAAGGTGACTCCTTTGCCGACAAGCGTCACCGGGGACTCGCTCGAGTTCTCCGCGCCTTTGTAACTGATCTCTACGAATTTAGGTGGTTCGATGCTACCACGGGCCACGCTGAGGAACGAGCCCATCTTCTTCTGCTCGGCCCAGCTCTTGTCGTGTACCTGAACGTCGACTCCGAGATTCGTCAGAACCTCGGAGACCCGCTGCGAGAATATCGTGGGCGTCATCAGATTCGCAGGTGTGTCCGCAAGCTCGCGAGCCCAATTCTGTGCCTGGGCCTTGATAATACCCACTTGCCATTCCGCCCTAAACAAATTTATTACGTTAGAAAAATTGTGTTTACACTCGTCATGTGGGATATCTACATTTCTGGATGTGAAGATAAAGAAACTCACTCTCCTTCTTCTCCGTAGAGAGAGATCTTTGGTAACTTCTTCTTCTTCTCCTCATTTTTGTATCCTTGATAAAGCCACGTGCATAAACCAGCTCCCTCGGCGGCAGCTTCCGCATCTCCTAGTGCTTCCAGCTTGATATCCTTTATTTCGACATCGTCCAAAGCACGACATCCCGCTAAAAAAAAATCCTATTAATAAAATTCAGTAACGACGTATAATAGAGCATCAAGAAAATGAATAATGTTTTTATTCCAACTGTAAAATAAAACTTATCTTTTTAATAATTTTCATCTAAAACTTGTCCACCAAGATAATCAAAATATATGAGCAATTTATATATAAATGGTCCAATATAATGAAATCAATTATCAATTATCAATCACACCATGATCATAAAGTGCATACAAGTAAAAGAATATATCATCTTCCAATGAATATTTCAAAATATCAAAATGATTTTAGATTATATTATGCATATATAAATATAATAAACATGCATATACATATTTTATATAACACATATATAATATTATCATATATTAAAATGTTAATTTCAAAGTACAATTTAAAAATTCAAAATTTGAATAACATAGATTATAATAATCCTTTATTTTACATAGTATATTGAATAATGAGAATTACCTGCTGCGGCAGCACGTACGCTTTCCTTTCCTTCATGAATCTCTTCAAGCTTGTTAATACCAAGATCTTGTTTTCCCAGACTAACTACCGCGATTCCGCTGTAATCTGTTTCCAAACCCCAAAACACTCTAGCATGACCCTTAGGAATCTTTGGTCCTGCTCTGTAGCGTAAACATTTATTTGAAGTTAGTCAAAAAATCTCATCGCAACAATATGTTTCTTTAATAAGGAAAGATATGCGACAGTAATATACTTAGAAGACAAATTCAGACACAAATTCGTAAATTTATTAATTACAATAGAATCTAGGCATTTTTTGACATTTATTTCATGTATGATATAGTAATTTGCAATTTTAAAATACATTCTAAAAATATACTATTCTTTATTCTAGAATATTTTTCTTCGTCCAGTTATACATTATACACCAGTACATTTACAATTATTCTCTTTGAGAGGATTATAACTATACATTAATTCACAATTGTTGCTTTGTAATATATCAGCATCAATACAATTCGATATTACAGATAACTGCTTCACATACAGTTCTCACTAACAAGTTGAATTTGCGAGCAACCTATTTAGCAGCTTAAGATATAATACATCATAAAATTTTTGTGTTAGCAAATATTAGTTTCTTTTATATACAACGATATTATAAGCGATAATGTGACTTTGTCATGGGGTTTAGTTGGCATAGTTGTATTATGAGTTTTGTTAAATTAAAAAAAATTTAAAAACACAACTATATTTCTTGTAACAAGCAAAAAAACAATGGATGTCTCATTAATACTCTTATAATTAAAATTTAACGTAATATTATACAAAATATTTGAAAAAAATATATTTCTTTTATTATATCATTTTTAGATTTAAACATTTTATGCAAAAACAGATATTTAAAACACTTTAAAATATATGAATTTTTCTATTTATTCTCTGTATATTTTGGCACCTTAGAATTGCCTTTTTCAACAATATTTATAATTCTTAGATTTGTTAATTAATTTTGTTTTTCATTTTGTTTCAATTAGGCTCATATATAATACAATAAACTTTCTATTATAAAGCTAATTAGAAACAATAAAATTATTATCATATAAAATTTTTTATATGCAGTAAAAGAAATATCTTTCCGAGAGTCGGAGCGTTTCAACAGAAACATGTGCTATCTATATGTACAATTATCATTGAAAATACTTGAGACGTTGATTACACCTTATCACGTTTCTGTTTACAAAATCATGCAGTCATGATACTAGCAAGTCACTTTAAGCGGAAGATGAGTTATCACTCTAACTGGTTACAAAAAAATTTTCCAAAATTTTTTTGACTTTTCTACATACACTGATACAGCTAAAATATACTGATATTTTAGTATGTATTAGTTTTGAAATATTGATATTGCAATTGGTAATAGTTTTCTAAAAAAAATGCAGGTACGATTTGTATATATATTGATTACCATTTAAAATATCACTACATGTATATCAATTTTGATAATTTCTTCCTTCTAACTTTTATCGACTTTTAAAAGACTTAAACAACTGCATTTTAAATTTATTTGGCAGATTTTGTAAAACAAAATTAAGATGCGCTCTGTATTAAACATGTGCATCAATTTTTGAATGTTGATTGAGACAATCGTCATTCTAAGTAAATTTAGGAAATATTATTCAAGAAAAATATTTTACTTTATATGTAGATACATTGCTCTAAATTTTTGCAGCTTTAAGCGTCATTTGTAGCAGTATTGCGCTTATTGTAATAAACCTCACTCTCGTATTGTGATCATATATATGTAGAATATATATATCGTCTTCATAGAATATACAGTTTAATAAGCGTGCAACTATGATATATTCCCGGCGAATGTTAAGTATCGGTAACTTAATATAAAATTATGAAAGATGTATAATTATTTTAATTTTGTAAATGATCGTATGTGTGTGCAAACATGTTTCAGTAACATGTTCGTTGTTATAACAATGCAAAACTTTTATCATTACAATTCAGTCTGTACACATTTATAGAATTATACGTACCTAAATTATATTGATTAGAAAATAGAGTCACAAGATATATATACGAAAATGCGCGTAATAATTAACAATATCAATTTCCCTAATTACACTTATACACACAATGTACAATCCAGAGAAAATACTTGTGCTCTCCTCGTTAATATTGAGCATGGATCAATTGGAGATTTTCCTTTTTCACAAATTAGTTAGATTCGCCGATAATGCACGTTTAATACTAATATTCAATATTTAATTCAATATTCAATATTAATATTTAAATTCCGTTATGTTAAAAATTTTCTCTACACGTCGTGTTTATAACAATAAGTTATTTATGCTATTTAGAATAATTCCTCGTCATTTCTCGTTGTTATTCACAATTTGCTAATCATTCGAGTAAACTAATTATTCTCTGTTCGTTAAATTTTTAATTGTTTTTAAATCAACTCTAATATTTTGATAATTCCTTGAGAATTAGCGGCTACTACGACATTGGACATTTGTCTCCAACATACCGCGGACACGAACTCATTCAAATCTTCCTCTCTTCTGTCTTGCAGCTCCAGTATGCTTCGAACGGCGTCGAATTTGTACGAGAACAACTGTTTCGTTAGTCCTTTGTAGTATACGTATAATGCATTATTTTCCGACCCGCAGGCAACGTAATCGCCGTCAGTGGCGAGTCCGACAAAGTTCTTCTCGTTCACGTGACCCACGAACGAGCGTAGACAAAGCGGATTATTTATGTTCCACATCTTCAACTGCGAATCCGTGCTAGCTGAGACAATTTCCTCCTTGTTGATGAATTTAACGTAGGAGACGGCCTTGCGGTGACCCTTGAATATGCATAACGCCTCCTTCATGTTACGCAGATCGTAATAATGTACGCAGTGATCCGCGGAACCGAACGCCAGGTGACAGGAGCTACGTGGATTGAATTTCACGCAGCATACGTTCGCCTTTGCCTCCAACGACGCCACGGAATAATCGGTGTTCAATGCCCATAATTTCACCCGCGCGTCGTCGGAGCCGGACGCGATCAAACGCGTATCCACGTCGTTGAAGTCGACGGACCAACATCTCTTCTCGTGCTCCTGAAACGTCTTCGTCCTCTGACCGGTCGTCGCGTCCCACACTGTCACGGTACCCTCGTAGTCCGATGACGCGAGCATACCCTTGTGGAAAGAGTTCCAGGAGACGCACGAGATTTTCGAACTGGAGACCATCTCGATGCAGGGATAATGAATATCGACGGTGTCGCGTATAACGGCACCGTAATCGAATACCTTTATACGTTTTGTCACCCCGGCGATCGCAAAGAATTCATTGTCCTTGTCGAATTCGATACTGGAAACAATTGTGGAATTATTGAAGAGGTCCGACGAGTAATTCAGAGTCGCCAATGGGCGCAAGGAATTGTATCTCGAGAACTTGACTAGATTCTCACGAAAGATGTCTAGACCGGAACAGGTGCTATGGACGCCACCATGTTGTTGCGCTTCGCTCTGCGATTGTGATTTCTGACCCAAGAGAAGCTCCTTGCCGCGAGAATCGAAGTAACATTGAACAAAGTCGTCGAAGTGAGCGTGCAGTCTCTTCCTGCGTATAGCTAGGGTAGATCCGCTGGGCTGGCTGACGTTCGGATTGATCAAGTTATCAGGACCGATCGTTTTGTCACTGGGTTTCACCATATTCGAGTCTATTATATCTATAAGGCCGAGCATCTCCCGTCTGATGGCGGAAACCTGCGCTGTGTCGTTCTCACTCGCCTTTTTCACGTCTTCCACCCGCGGGCACTTGCTCTGAACGTCCTTTAGAATATTCTCCACTTCTTCCATGTCTTTCTTGATCAGTACCACTTCCTTCTGCAACTGATTCCTTTGTTCTTCCTTCTGTTGCAACAGATGTTTCAGGAATTCGTGCAAAAGTTTGTTTTGCGCCGTACAAGTTTCAGCTTCGAGCAAATGCTTTCGTTGAGTCAGCACCTCTAGCATCACATTTACATCCGGTAGAGTAAGATTGGCGCTTTCCGCCGCAACAATGCTTCTTAATCCATCGGACGCCGGTACTGATAAATCGTTACCTGTTCTGTGTCTACCATTCTCCGTGTAAGAACCTAGCTGGGCGAGACCCTTAGTTCTCGTCTTATATTTGGAAACTAGCTCGTCCAGAAGAAAGTTTGGGAAGATGTCCTTCTCGTTCAATGTAAAACTGCATTTCGGACAACGATCCTTAATCTCTAAGCACTTTACGATACAATGGTGACAAAAAGTATGTCCGCAACGCGTGATGTAAGCCGTATCGATAAGATCGAAGCAAATTGGACACATATAATCGTTACTTTTATCTTCTAATATCCCGCTCATTCTTTGCAACACATTCGTAGGTTGGTGATGCTTATTAATTTTGCTACCATCGCCTAAGCCACCACCACTGCTCCCTGCGCTGCTATCGTTCCCCATATTACTGTTGCCAGGTGTCGACATTACTACTATTACTATATTCGAGATTTCTGATCTCAGTCTTCGAGCAGCAAAGATTAATTAACTGAAGGATTAACAGCTTAAAATCACCCTAAGTGGACGTTTGATTTGTCTGATGTCACGTCGAAAAGAATATATATGTCATAAATCAGGCAGTATTTTATTCTTTAGTTATATCTCGCATTTATAAAGCGCAGCGTATGTCTAGGAAATCCTTGTGCGGAGCAAGTTGCGCTTCATATCATATGTATAATATCGTCTCTCAGTCTAGTCACTCCTGAAACAATGAAAATAATGCCAGTGAGCTCGTGAAGTACAAAATTCTTGTTTAAAAATTCAAAATTTTTAATAACAAAAAATACTTTATGTAAGAATTTTAAGATAACAAAGGGAAAGCACTTTTGAATGTCAGAAAAAAGCTCAGGCAGCATTATATAACAATTGTTTCAGGCTGGAAATATGAATAAAATATTTAAACATATTGTTGTGTTGTATGATTAAATAAAAGTGGAAGAACAATTTGGCAAAGTGCAAGTGTTGCATAGAGAATTGCTCTCTTGTATACCTCACAGTTTTATACATCAGTATGTGACGTTCATTAAATAAAGTATGCGAAGAAAGTGTCCTTAAATATATGTTTGTACATATATGAAGGAATGTAAGTTAACTCTTCGTCGAGAGAAGAAAGGATTCCATATAGAGGAAGACATAGAGAAAAAAAATACTTCGATAAGTAAACATACGTGTCCAAGTCAAGGTCTCGCAAATATATTCTACAACAACGCACAAGGGGTACAGCCTTGTTAGATAAGAATAATACTATATATGACACAGACGTATATATTGCGGTGTGATACCATCTCTAAAATCGCGCGGATGCACAAAAGGTAGTAATCAGCAGTAAATAATGAATATAATAATTAGTGGACATTGTGAGACTTACAGCAAAATGTTTTGCAGCAGCTTGCCCTTAACCAATTCATTGTATTTGGCGGCAGTAGGAGTAAACACGACGTTGCTCTCGCTCTCTGTCTCGTACACACCGAGCACCAATCCCTTCTGCAAATGCAAAAAAAAAAATATGCAAACATGTCGTGGAAATGGGCGACAAAAGTGTGACATCTCTTATTATTCGAACGAGCGCGATTAAAAATTTTGCAATCAAAATCGTTTCGACACTCTGTTTATTCGCGAAATATTCCGGACGCGCCAACACAACGACAAGTCGTATCGGACGTTCTTCGCAGGGACAATTTTCTAAAACGCGACGAAAATTTCTCTCGTTTCGTTCTTCTTCGAGAGAAACCCACCGCTTCGTCGACGGCGAAAAATGACGGTGAATGAGATTTCCCGTAAATTACCTTCATGGTCGATACGTTAGCGAAGAAACGTAAGAGAGAATTTCTGTGCGGTGATACCTTAGCCCTGATAAAAGACAATGCCATAATTCGTTCCCGAGAGCATTAGGTGTGATATATATATACATATATATACATTGTATATATATATATATATATATACATATATCACGGGGAGAGATGTAATAAAGAGCGGCGACTCCGAATTCGATTCGAGCGCGATCGTGATCCCGCGTAACGTCAAATGCGCGAACTACGAACGGATTTTTATATTGAGAAAGTAAGTATATAAAAATATAATTTTTCTACAATTATATATTTACAAAAATAGCTCTTTCTTCATATTCAATCATAATTCAATTTAACTTATTTGATTTAAATTTATTTATTATATATATAAATTATATATTAAATATATATATTAATTATATATTTATAAATAATAAATATAAATAATAATTTATATATAATTATATATTATTTATTATTATATATTTATTATATATTAATATTTACAAAAATTGCTCTTTCTTCATATTCAATCATAATTCAATTAACTTTTACTTGATTTAAATTTTATTAAAAAATACATTGATTTGATGACGCGTATTTGATTTGTTTGCATACAGAAATTCGCGCATTTTTGCTTCAAAAACGCGCCTTTAATTTTTAATTTCGGGGCCCGTTGAAAAATTCCGCATCATCTCTCGATCTCGACGTTCTGCGAGTGGGATAAAGTGGACGAGAGTCAACGGTGAGAGAAAACGTTGGAGGGGGAATTCGCGATAGAGTGTCGGGGCCCCCTTGTAAGTGTGTCGAGGGCTTGTCATGTGTCAAATTTTTCGCCCCGCGCCCGAAACGCAATCACCTACGTTCCTCGACGATCGCAGTTGCGACTCGACGACTCTCAAGATCATCCTCGAGTAGAGACCCCCTCCGGCTCTTCGAAGGTCATCGGTCCCCGCGAGAGAGCGAAATATCGGGCCCCGCAGCTGCCTTCGAGAATTGGAATGCGGGATCAACATGGAGGTGGCGGATAGATCGATATTGCTCGATGATGTCACGCGTGGTCGCTGACTCTCCCTGTCCGGCATCCTGTTGTGAGTAAAATTCTCACGTAGAAAAATAGCTACGAGTATCCGCTTAAGCCTCGGGTAATTCTTACGTTGTATTTATCGGTGGCCGCGTCGTAAATCGCAGATTTGCAGTGGCGAATTTTTTCAAAAATAATGCACATACCTGCTTCGCGTTGTGGTATGCGCGAATAACAGAGAATGAACCCGTCGACGAAGTGATATATCTTTGGATTTTTTATAGGTCTCTGTCCATAGATTAATTAATCAATGTGCTGTAACATATGTCATAATTAATTGATAAACTTAAAAAATTTTAATTTTTTTTATGAATTCTTGTTTTCTTTTATATAAACTAGACAATTGTTTCTGTGTCTTGTAATTTATGTTTATTTACCTGAAATATTTTGATGATATAGCCATCGATGATACCTTATCTTAATAAAAATAAAAACTTGGTTTGAAATCTTTCCAATAATCTAAATCATTTTTATTTATACTTGTAGGATATTCTCTAAATGTAATGTAATTGAAATAAATTAAAATTTTAGAACGGAGCATGGAATGGACGGATCATGCCCACTCCTCTTTCCCAGCTTCGGAGAGCAGACTGGCTCTGAGCGGGGAGGAGGCTACTCATCGCAGAAGGTATACAGGCCAGGTTCTGATGCCATCGACTTGGGTTATCACACCCTTGACAACAATGCTTGCCGCACCACGTCCTCATCGTCCTCGTCAACCCCGGGTGTGCCCAGCCGTCAACAGCAACAGCAGCCACCACAATCTAAGCATTTGATACATTATTCTATAGTTAGCGACTTGTGCCAGCTGGATGACAATCTGCTTCTGAGGATTTTTAGCTGGCTCGACACCCGAGATCGCTGCGCTCTGGCGCAAACATGTCGACGTCTTTGGGAGATCGCGTGGCACCCGTCCCTCTGGCGAGAGGTCGAGGTCTGCTATCCGCAAAAACGCCACCACGGCGTTGAACGCGCTGACGCGTCGCGGCTGCCACACCTGTATTCGCCGTTTGGTTCTGGAAGGCGCTACCGGTTTACCTGGCATCTTCGTCCAATTGCCGTATCTCAACCTGACGTCCCTAGTGCTGCGACACTCGCGACGTGTCACCGATGCCAACGTTACTACGGTGCTGGACAGCTGCGCCCATCTTCGCGAGCTTGATCTGACCGGTTGCTCCAACGTTACACGAGCCTGCGGTCGTATGACCACCTTGCAGCTGCAGTCGCTCGATCTCAGCGATTGCCACGGTGTCGAGGACTCTGGTCTGGTGTTAAGTCTGTCGCGCATGCCGCACCTCGGATGTCTTTACCTACGTAGATGCACCCGCATCACCGACGCCAGCTTGGTAGCCATCGCTTCCTACTGCGCCAGTTTGCGCCAGCTGTCAGTGTCAGATTGCGCGAAGGTGACGGATTTTGGAGTACGCGAACTGGCGGCGCGTCTGGGTCCTTCGCTCCGTTACTTCTCCGTGGGCAAATGCGACCGGGTGTCCGACGCCGGTTTGCTGGTCGTCGCCCGTCACTGCTACAAGCTCCGTTATCTGAACGCTCGCGGCTGCGAGGCGCTCAGTGACAGTGCGACCATCGCCCTGGCACGCGGATGTCCACGTATGCGCGCCCTGGATTTGGAAATGCGACATCGGCGACACGACGCTCGAGGCACTCTCCACAGGGTGTCCCAATCTAAAGAAGCTGTCCCTATGCGGATGCGAGAGAGTGACGGATGCCGGTCTCGAGGCCCTGGCTTATTACGTACGTGGTCTGCGACAACTCAACATCGGCGAATGTCCTATGGTCACGTGGATTGGCTACCACGCAGTCAAACGCTATTGCAGACGTTGCATCATCGAGCATACTAATCCTGGATTTTCTAGTTGATATTCCAGCCTACGGTGTCTTATATCGAAGTAATGGTATAAAGAGGTATTCTCTAGAAAGAATGTATTCTGAAAAAGAGAATATTTTTTTAGAGAATTTTTATATGAATATAAAAAAGAACAGATTTGTAGATATTTTATATTCTGAAAGATATAAAGAATAAGAATGTATTGAGAATATTTGTAAGAATATTTTTTACAAAATATATCAGAATATCTGGGAATATACTAATTTTAAGAGTAATATCTAAGAATGAGAATATTCTCAGAATATTTAATCATCTCACGTCACCAGTTCCAAGTGCCAGAGTGTAATATAAGAAAAGTTTGTAGGAAATTGTAAATCTAATTTTTTAAATTTACGTTTATTAATGATTATAAATGTTATATCTTTTGATACCATGTTAATGAGAGAAAAATGTAGGATGAATTTGAGACTTTAATAATTTGTATCGTTTGGAATCTATTTATTAACATATGCAAATATTATTTTACAAACATCGCTTGCAAGTATATATTAATTTGTAAAAAGGTTATTTGTGTTTCATTGGTTGTAAAATATACATATATTCTGCTTCAAGAAAGTCATGGCTACTATTTATTGTATTTGTAATTTAACGTATTACATAAATAATAAAATCATTGGTAACTAAATTTTGTCTAATTTATTGTAGTTACAGAATAAGATATTAAATATACTCATTTCTTAACACCATTAAATTATGTAAATTGATTATATAGCATGCTTTTTACACAATATGTATAGAAATGTATGCAAGTAAAATATATCCTTCATTAAAGCAAATCATTTTTTTAGGAATACAAAATATTTTACATTTCAGATTTATATCGTTACAAATGTTTTTCTATTGCTAGATTAATGTAGTTTTATAATTATAAAATAATTTTATTATAATTTGTGCAAGATTTATATAAATGGCATTTTTTATATAAAATATATATTTAGTTTTATTTAATATATTTAGTTTTTTAGTTTTATTTTTTGATCAGATCTCTGTTTCATATAGCTAAATAAAATATATAGCTAACAGTATTAAAAGATTTATATAAATGGCATTTTTTTATATAAAACATATATTTAGTTTTATTTAATATATTTAGTTTTATTTTTTGATTAGATCTCTGTTTCAACAAAATAAATATAGCTAAACAATATATATAGCTAACAGTAAGATCTTAAAGTTACACATTGCAAGGTAGACTGGACAAAATCACGATTCAGCCAATCACATTCGTATACTTGGTTTTGCGACAAAATGCGTATCCGCCTTAAGAAGTCCCCGAATGACACTGCGCAGGCGTGCGACTTCTACTTATATTTAAATAATCCATGGTTACACAAAGGAGACGAGAGACGATTAACGAACAATTATCAAGAAGCTGCATTAATAAGAAATACCTGCTCCAGATTTATCTCTTGCAATCGACTTGCAAAAATCAAGTAAGCAATTATTCATAGAGTTTTCTGAAAGATAATATATCTATATTTTTATCGTACATATTATTTACGATCGATGAAACAATCAAGAACAATAAATAATGTGTTGAGAAATGTTGGTCCGAAGATTTATTTCTAGTCGCCATTTAAAAATTATGTATATATGTATACATATATGTAATTCGCGTATATTTTTCCGAAAACAGCATCGTGTTGATA